CCCCCCCCCTGTTCCGGCTGGACTTGTCGAGTGTCGCACAAGTTACCCGGCTGTCCAGGTCCCGGGAGGCAAAGACAAGACGACAATCCTGGGAGGGCCGAGCCAGTCGCCTACGCATTCCTGAAGACACATCTTCTGGGGACGTACGGACACAGTCTTCACCACGTGTGGCTTGCTGCACCACTAACTTTTTTTACGCCTTGCGAGAGGCGTGTCTAAATCCAATCTCCCTCAGCCGGACGTAGCAACTCCAACAACCATCTCCTGGTCTCAGGAACTCGACCAGGTTTCTTGTGGCGCGCCCTGGATCGACTCTGGTCTCTCCACGCACCCTTCCGCTCTGGCCTTCGGTCTTCTCGCCCATCGTCCTGTGACTCTCCCGCCCGGAGCCTTACTTGCGCCATTGCCACCTCCAGAACCTATGAATCGTTGTTGCGACATGTGTTGCCGTCCATGCCACCCTTTCTTGAAGTGATAGCCAACTGGGCATGGCGTCCGTTCATGGTGAGCTATACCCCTCGCCCCTGCCTTTCAATCCCTTCTCCGACTCTCTACCACGCATTTCATTTCAAAAACACCTCACATCTGAAGATGTCACTTCTGTTTCCCACTGTTGTGACCACTCAATAACCATCAGCATGAAGTCCCGAAAACGCGTCGCTGTTGACCAGCTCAAAGACGCCATAAGGGCAGATTCCGCCGAGCCGTGCCTTCCAGGCTCGCTGCACAAGCCCTTGTCCTCCGATCATCTTAGTCCCCCTCTCAGCCCACAATCCACCTCTGGACACCAAAGCTCAGTGGGAATGGAGCGCATCTTTACTCTTTCGCCAACTCCGACTGCTGTCCTCGACAAGGATTTACGGGTTATCTTGGTTTCGGCGTCGTCTCGGAAGCTTTGCAATGTCGAGCCGGACGAGTGTCGCGGCCGTGCCTTTTTGGATGGGCTCGACCAGAGGTTAATGCCGACAAACCACGCAATAACCGCCAAACTCGTCCAGGACGCAATTGTAACCCGCAAGGAGCAGATATCTGAGCCAGTGCCGGGAACTGATCTACCAGGATACTGGCGGCTCCGAGTCCTACCGATATTTGACGCCGACGAGCTTGTGTACATCGTTGTGGAAGCTCAAGACGTCACAGAAGACGTGCAAAGGAATTTGAGTTACTCAACTCAATTGTCCTCTGCTGAAACTTACCGTATCTTGGTCAGCACCCTTCGCGACTATGCTATTTTCATGCTCACCCCCGACGGGCGTATCGCAACCTGGAACACAGGCGCAATGCTTCTCAAACAGTTTACCCAGGAAGAAATCGTCGGCAAACACTTTTCAACGTTCTACAGCGAGGAAGATCGAAAAGCGCGGAAACCGGAGAAAGAGCTAGAACTGGCTCTGCGCGATGGGAAGGTGGAAGATGAAGGATGGCGAGTCCGAAAGGATGGCTCTCGATTTTGGGCCAATGTCATCATAACCCCCGTCTATCGGGACGGAGAATTGACCGGGTTCAGTAAAGTTACCCGGGACCTCACCGAGCGGAAGGCAGCAGAAGCACGGCTGATCGCTGCCTACGAGGAAGCTTCACGGTTGAAGTCCGATTTCCTCGCCAATATGAGTCATGAGATTCGCACCCCCATGCATGGCATGTTGTCTGCGCTTTCTCTTCTGACAGACACCGGGCTTTCAAAGGAGCAAAAGGAGCTGACTGATATCATCGATGAATCCGGCGCCATATTGTTGCAGGTCATCAACGATATTCTAGATTATTCAAAGCTTAGTTCCGGCTCCTTTTCGATCAGCAAGGATGTTCTAAACATATCCGAGGTTGTTGCGGCTGTCAGGAGGTGTTTCAAGGTCGGATCGAACAACGACCTGAAGTTGGAGGTCGAATTGGACCCTCGTTTGCCCAAGTTCGCTCAGGGCGACGCTCTTCGGTACAGACAGATCTTGCAGAATCTGGTGTCCAATGCCATCAAGTTTACAGATCAAGGCTACGTCCAGGTGAAAGTCACACTCACCGGCGAAAATGAGGACTCGTACGACATCAGAACAGAGGTTATTGATACCGGAATAGGGGTGTCGCTGGAGTCAGAGCACATCCTGTTCACTCCCTTCACTCAATTGGACAAGTTCTCGACGAAACGGTACAAAGGTACTGGACTTGGTCTGTCAATCTGCAAGAGTCTTGTCGAATTAATGGGAGGTACCATCGGATTTGGTCCAAATCCCGAACAGCATGGGAGCATCTTCTATTTCACTCTCAAGCTAAATAAATTGGATGCGAGAGCTCCAGCGCCGCCCATCCCGAATACGTCCGATACCGATCTGAAGGAGCTGGGGCAAAAGAAAACGATACTTCTCGTGGAAGACAATGCCATCAATCAAACCATCATGGTTCGTTTGTTAAGAGCATTTGGTTTCGAAAAGGTGGATGTTGCTGGCGACGGTCAAGAAGGATTACGACTGGTAAAGCAGAAGCCACTGACATACAACCTGATCCTCATGGACATAAGCATGCCAGTGATGGATGGAGTTACCGCAACCAAGGAGATTCGAAGACTAGGCCATTCCATACCAATCATCGCAATGACCGCCAATGCATTGAAAGGAGACGAAGAAGCATACCTCGCAGAGGGTATGAATGACTATGTCGCCAAACCTGTGGACAGAAAACTTCTCACGCAAGCCCTATTAAGATGGCTGCGGTAGGTTTTGGAGCTGATGGACCTCAAGCACGCAGAGGTGTTGCTGTGAAACAACACTTGGCCGCTTTCATCGATGCAAGGATGTCCTAGCAGTCCACCCTGAGCGAGTTCAGGACCAGGAAAAGGCGTCGACTGCCTTCGAGGCACAAGTTTTCCCATCCAGTGCGAACGAGTTCATGGTTCGGCCCATCTGAACAGTAGGAGAGTTCAGCAGAGTTGCCCAACTCGCATCAAACGGCCACTCGGGCCGCGTCTCGCTACAAGGTTAGGGAAAGGATCTGGCATCCACAACAAGTGTCGATTGAAGATCTTCGGGCTGCTGTGGCATGCGCCGAGATGATTTCGCAGGCATGCGAGGATGAACAAACGGGGTATTTCATCAACATCCACCCTCGCTGTGTTTGGAGTCGAATGCCAGCCATGAGCGAAGGTGCTTTCTTTTTGACGTGTTCCAATCACCATGTAACAGGTGAAGATCTCCAGGACCAGCTTACTTGGCTGTCTTTTTTCAACTCTTCTTTCAACTGTGGGCCTACCAGCTCTAGAGCCTCAGGATGAAGCGTGCGTTTGAGGTCCGGAGTGCAAGGTGGAGTCAAGAGTTCCTTGTTCCGTGTTCCTCACGTTTCATCCGTCAAGCCAGCTACGCACATGAAGCGGTATCGCCGGCGCGAGTTAGTGTGCAAGGCTATCTGCGGTACATTGGTTGTGAGATAGACAAATATTTACATTTTCCACAACCTTCAACCCGCAACCAAGCAAACAACAAAAGAGTCTCGAATGGGCGGACCAGAGCGGTCCTGTCATCAGTTTGCTCTACTTTCGTGGTGCGTTCCGTGGTCCGCGGCTGACTCGGACATTGCACTATAGGCGCGACCGTCTCATACTTGCCTCAGTATGAACTTCCTGCTTATCGCCGCCTTGAAATGGGACAAAATAGACTGGAACTCAGACCACTGACATGCTTGTGATCGTCAAGATAGCCAGTCACCACTATGTACGGAGTATATGAACTTGATCTAGGTCAACCCACCACAGTCATTGACAAGTCACCAGTCACCCGCTTTCACTCGGCCAGCACTTAGACTGTCATGTGCGAGTCCAATCGCAATCAAGGCTACAGAGCATGTATCCCATCCATCCAAATCCGATCCACGTCCAACCGAGCCAGTCACTGAAATCACAGCATCGAGTAGGTGGGGATCTATGCATCCTGATCCATCGACCAATGTCTGTGAGGTGTGGCACGACTTCATTGGTTACTTGCGACTTACAGTCCAAGAGAGGCTGATGGTCGATCGACCGTGTCTGTCGTCTTTTCTCTCTTACAGTCGAGGTCACCAGTCTCTCACCCTTCCACCATGTCAAGGACGGCGTTCCCTAAGATGTCTACCACCATGCCTACCATCCAACCATTCAAAGCCCTCATTCTGGCCATCCTGGCCCTTTCCCTCTATCACTTCTACTCGCGGGCCAGGAGCAAGAAGTCGCCGTCACTCGAGGCCCTAGCATGGGTAGGAAGAAACGACGCGGCGTGGTTCTTCCCTAACACCCGGGCGCGACTATGGAATATGATGAATTATGAAAAGGCGCTGAAACTGGCCTACGATCATGTACGAGCACAAGCCTCTCATGTCTGTTTTCGTCGATTCCATCCTTACTCTCACGATGTCACTCCCGGCGCTCAAGCTCCCTGACACCACGGCAATGCTCTTTAGCGGTGTACAGAGGCAAGCACAACTTGAATGGCCACAGAGAAACCTCCTTTTCCATTTTGGCCAACTATCCATACCTGGGTCTGACTTGTACCGTGGCCTCACCAGTATGCCGTCCACAACCGGCCGTGCATCCTCGCGACTCTCGACGGAGATGTGATCCTGCTCCCGCCGTCAACCATTCCCTGGCTCATCTCTCAGCCAGAACAAGTGCTCAGCGTCAACGGAGCACACAAGCATATTCTCCAGACTAAATACACTTTCCCACGACCTGAGATCATGGATCCCACAGTTCATTTCGGTATGTTAGGCGTTTTACGTTTGAGTCTCTTCTGATTTGATACGCATATCCATGGAACTCGTGCTGACAACGACACTGGGCAGACGTGATCAAATCCGAACTCACCCGACAAGTCTTCAACGTGACGCCCGAGGTCTGTGACGAGCTGGCCGCCGCGGTCGACGAGATCTGGGGCACTGATACTCAGCACTTCACCGAAGTCACGCTCTTCGATTCCATTACCAAGATCATCGCGCGGACAAGCAATCGTGTGTTCGTTGGTTTACCGTTTTGTGAGTATTGGTCCATTCCAGCTCTTCAGCTGACCGACCCATGTCCTGAATCCACATCGCGGTCTTCGGCTGACTCTTGAGCTTGACTCAACCAGGCCGCGATGAAGAATATATTCACAACGCCGTCGGATTTGCGGAGGACATCGCCTTGTCCGCCACATTGTTGCGGCTCTTTCCTGGCGTCATACGCCCACTTGTGGCCCCTATCATCACGCATCCGAACCGTAAGCACACGCGCGCCTTCACCCGCATCTTGACACCCGAGATTGTCCGGCGTCAGGGGCTACAGCAAGTGCAAGGCCAAGAAGCAGGTTCTGATGTCAAAGAGGTAAATGATGTGGAGAAGGAAAGCCACTCTGACTGTGATGGTGGTGGCAGAGCAGGACCGAAGAACGACTTTCTTCAATGGCTTCTGACGCGCTCGCTGACGAAGCCGAAATTGAGAGTGCACCCCGACGAAACGGACCCCGACATCATATGTGCCCGACTGCTTCACACCAACTTTGCAGCTGTGCATACGACCAGCTTCATCGGCACGAATGTGGTCTTGGACATTCTGTCCGCCCCACTATCCGAAAGCGTAGTGGACACGCTGCGCGCAGAGGCCGTTGAGACCATGGATGCGGATTTGGAGTCAAGTCCGAGTTCGACTGCGAAAATGTGGTCAAGGACATCGCTGGCCAAGATGACTTACCTCGACTCGGCCTTGCGCGAGAGCTCGCGCAGAGCCAGTATCATCGGCGTGGGAATCAACCATAAAGTCGTTGTTCCAGGCGGCATCACGACCCCTGAAGGCACGCATCTACCCGAAGGCAGCATGGTCGCGGTGCACAGTTGGGGCTTGCACAATGATGAGAACATCTATTCAGTCGCCGGGGCCTACAGGCCGTTCAGATTCGTCGAGTTGAAGGAGCAGATTGGTCGGCGGGAACCAGCCAAGAGTGGCACAGTTGGAATCGGTCAGGGTGAAGGTGAGCCGGAAGGCAGCGGCAAAAGCGGTAGCGGTAGCGGTAGCGGGAGCAGAGACGAGGCAAGTCCCACAGCAGCCCACGAGACGGACCGGGCGAGGGAAAGGGAACACGAGAAAGACAAGAACAAGGAGAAGGAGAAGGCGTACCTCGACAAAGCACATCTCCAATTCATCGCCACGTCGCCGACGTACCTGGGCTTCGGGCACGGTCGTCACTCATGCCCGGGCCGGTTCTTCGCCGCGAATGAATTAAAGTTGCTCGTCGCCTACCTTCTCACGCGGTACGATATTCAGATGGTGGTGGAGGGAACGAGCGGCGCCGCAGGAAATGACGGTTTGAACGGCAACGGCAACGGCAGGGGAGTCAGGCCTGAGTGTTATTGGGCTGGGCCGAATCATGTTCCGCCGATGGGGGCCAAGGTAAGGGTCAGAAGGAGTGAGGTGTGAGGTGTGAGGTGTGAGGTGTGAGGTGTGAGGTGTGCACTCCTTGGGTAGTCGTTGATCAACCAATTGTGGATAGATTTGACAATTGGACAGAATTGAGGATAGAGAGTTCGCTGGCATTGAGTGGCTAGGCACGGACGTGAATGTCGAGGCGGGTGAGAGGGTTTAGACTGCATCTTTGAATTCTTGGTTGATTCGATAATAGACATTTATCTCTCGACACGACCGGACGGATATCTTGTCATCGTCGACCAGTTGGCCCCTTTTGCTTTGCCTGTCGATCGTTCGGGCCTTGTCCATGCCTTTTTGGCTGTTTAGAGGACGATCATGAATATTGCAATGGTTCGTCCGGGACCGTCGTTCATCCTTCCCTTCTTGCATTCCAAAACCCCTTGCCATAACTAACCACAATCTCCTCTCCCTTTGCAATTCCCTTGGCTCTAGGGCCCCCGGCCTTTCCTGGGCTGAGCACAAACACGCCAATCCTCTTTTCGAGCCTGCCAGGGCCGGGCCCAACTTGGACCAGACAATCGCGGAACTCGGCGTTGGGCCCTGCCGCTCTGATGCCGCGGTAGTCGTTGATGAAGCGGGCCTCGTTGCCGCACCGAGAAGCGTCAATGGCTAAGCCGAGGTCCCGGTCGAGGCTGAGGTCGTAGTTGGAAGTGGCATGAGTTGGGTCGTAGTTGGAAGTGGCATGAGTTGGGTCGGAGGTGGAAGTGGCATGAGTTGGGTCGGAGGTGGAAGTGGCATGAGTTGGGTCGGAGGTTGTGCTTGGTGTTGAGCAGGACGGGAGGGAAGAAACGGAAGACTGGGTTCGTGATGATGGAGTAGCCGGTCCGTGCAAAGTGCCCAAGTACAAGATGATGAAGCTCGATGGTGCTAGTGCCCGGGTAGCACACAGGCCGTATTGGCCATGTGCTGGGTGTGCTGGAGATGTGATGGGTGTGATGCGCACGAGGTGGTTTGGTGATACCACGGCGTTGGGTTTGATGATGGGGAGCGAAGGGACAGGGTTTGGTTTCGGATTGGAATTCGAATTGGAATTCGACTTGGAACCTAGGCGGGATTCAGGTCCAGTCGACTGGCTCCTGTCATCGGGCCGCGGGCCTATGGCAGGATTGGCCTCATAGGGAGTCTGGACCGGGACCTGGAGGAGGCTGCTGGACAGTGGTGGTGGAACATGTAGTGTTGTCAAGTAGGTGATCTCTCGTGGCCAGTTCTTTGGAAGCTGTGCCGACGCCGACGTTCCTCCTGATCGTGGGAGTTGAGGTGGAGGCTGATGTCTAGGCATTTCCTGACCATGTTGTTGGCCCTTGGTCTCATCACAGGACTCCGTACTCCGGATTGATGTTGATGATGATACGGAGTATTGATATCAGAGTGTGTGGAACATTGCCGTCTGGCACTCTCGGCTCACTTTCCTTCACACGAATACCTGAGCGTTTAGGCAGACACTAAGTGAAGTAGCGCCCAATCTTAACCTAAAGCTTATTTGCCTCTTCAGAAGCCTCTGTTAGTGTTGGGAAAGTCTCGTGCATTTGGAGGAGGTCAATCTGAGAGTCCGTATGTGCCAAAGTGCATCTCAGGCGCCTCAGGCCCTAGGTATGTTGATCTTATAGTGAAGCCTAAGCCCATTGAGCATTGAGTAGCCTGAGCCGCAGCCTCAACCCCCCGCACTGCCTGGAAATGCTTCCCCGTATAACGCCATCCCTTGATAGGCCTAGTGCGACTCTCTCTGCCAGTGTTGGCCAGGCAGCCTCGGTAGCTTCCTTTATGCTTATCCCGAGTTCCCTCCCCAAATCCGACCTCCTTCTCATAGAAACAATCCCAACCTCGTCATCCATATCTCCAACAAGGGATCTTGCCATCGTGGAATCTGGACGATTCCCAGACCCCAATGGAACCACGAGACAGGCTGCCTGAGAAGGCCTTACTCTTGGGCGACGAAGAGAGCAATGCTCCCAGTCCCAAAGATCGCCATCAATCGCCTGGTGTGAGGCTGGTGGCCATCCTTGTGGGAGGTCTGCTCCTCCTACTCGTGGGACTGGCCCATGTTCGGCCTGGTAGTCTGCGATCGTTCTCATTGCTCGGCTGCCTTAAAGGTTTGTTGAAGCTTTGCCTTGCCACTCATTTGATTCTCAGTCGCACTAACCTCCAACAGGTCACCACAAGACGCCACACCACAGCAAATCGGACGTCTGTCTCACACCAGCGTGTATCCATGCCTCTTCGGAGTTTCTGTACAATCTGTCGCCGGACTATCAACAAATCGATCCCTGCACCGACTTTGAAGAATTGGTCTGTGGAGGGTGGAGAGACCGCCATGACCTCCGACCGGATCAGGGCGATGCCTTCACTGGGACGATCATGGCCGAATCGTCTGAACTGCTGCTGCGCCATATCCTGGAGGCTCCATACCCGGATAGCTCAACGGTATGAAATGCCGTGCTACGACAACGGCAAGGATACTGACTCGCTGTGTAGCATTCGTACTTCTCCCCGGCCCAGCTTGACCCCGCCTCTGGTTCAGTCGACAAGGACAACTTTGACAAGCTCAAGGCTGCTTATGACGCTTGTTTGGATGAAGACACCATCCGGGAAATTGGCGTCGCGCCATTAGTAGAGATTCTCGATGAGATATCGAGTCGATTTTCAGTTGCCCGCCATCCCCATTCCGCTGACAACGAGGACCTCTCAGAAACTGTTCTCTATCTAGCGAAGCTTGGAGTCTCTGCATTGGTGTCGTCCGGAACAGGGGCTGATGATAAGGACCCGGATACAGTCGTTGTCTCGGTGTCCGCTCCCTACCGGATTGGCCTGCCCGCCAAGGAACTCTACCTAGATGAGAAGATCGTGGAAAGATACGAGACGGTAGTTTCGCAGGTCATCTCTGCCCTCAACCTGAGTTCCATCCATGAGACCGCCGATGCTCATGCGCTTGTCGAGTTTGAGAAGAAGCTGGCCGCGGCATCGCCAGATGCTGAAGACCGGGATGATGTGACAGTAAGTCGTTGCGAGAATCTTTTTCAGACGAATTGTATTGACCCATGCATCCAGAAATACTATAATCCTACGTCTCTCGCAGAGGCAGAACGTCTTACCCCGCAACTACATCTATCTAAGATTCTCAAGAGCTTAGTCCCGTCGGACTACGACCTTGACCGGGTCATCGTCATGGCTCCAGAGTACCTGAAGGATCTAGCCAACTTACTGGATGAGACATCTGAGGACACTCTCCGTGCCTACTTCCTCTGGAAAGCAATTCAGGCGTACGCAAGCTACGTGGAGGCTGATGCAATCACTCCCTACCGACGATTTTCCAACGAACTGCAGGGCAAGGTATTACTTGCGGCCAACCCTCTGCGAATATCGGACTGACTCTCTGTATAGGACCCTGACTCGAAGCCAGAGCGATGGAGGACCTGTGTTGGGCACGTTGATGACGGGCTAGGCTGGCTTTTAAGCCGCTTCTTCGTCGAGACAGCTTTCTCTGCCAAAGCAAAAGAGTTCGGTGACCGAATCGTCTCAGATATCAAGGACCAGTTCATCGAGAAACTCAAGGCCACAGAGTGGATGGAACAAGAAGTCATCGACCTGGCAATCAGGAAAGTCCACAACATCGTCCAGAAGATTGGCTACCCGGACAAGGTATGTTGAATGGTGACCGGTCTCTGTTTGTCGCATGGTCGAGGACTAACGGGGCGGATCCACAGAGCCCGAACATCCTGGACCCAGATTCACTTTACAGATACTACGAGCGGGTCAATATCAACTCATCGGCGTTCTTCGAAAATGCGGTATCAATGACACAATTGGAAGTTGCCCGTGAATGGTCTGCTCTTGGTAAACCAGTGGATAGAGATCAGTGGTGTGTTTGCTGTCCATCCGAGCAGATGCCAGCTCCAGGCTAACATCGAACTGCAGGGATATGACTGTGCCAACCGTGAATGCCTGTATGCTTGTCCTAGCCCCGTGTTCCTGTTCCTTTCATTGGCTAACCCTTATTGACTCGACATGTAGACTACAACCCTCCAGGCAATGAAATTGTCTTCCCGGCCGGAATCATGCAATTCCCCGTCTTTGACGTGAACGTGCCGGAATATGTCAGCTATGGAGCCTTTGGCTCTGTATCGGGCCACGAGCTGTCTCATGCCTTTGATTCGACCGGTCGCCACTACGACCAGAACGGGAACTTCACAGACTGGTGGACGGAAAAGACGGTGGCCAATTTCAAAGAGCGCGCCGAATGCTTCGTGCAGCAGTACTCCAACTTCACAGTGGATGGTGCTGACAACAAGCCCTTGCACGTCAACGGCCGACTCACCTTGGGCGAGAACATCGCCGACGCCGGCGGCCTCTCTGCGTCGTTTGCCGCGTGGAAGAAGAGGGCGGCGAAATCGCCCAACCAGGATCTTCCAGGACTCGATTTCTTCACTCAGGAGCAGCTGTTCTTTGTGTCCTACTCCAACTGGTGGTGTGGGAAAACCAGGAAAGAAACGGCCATCCAGCGCATCTTCACGGACCCGCATGCACCCAAGTGGGCGCGGATTTTGGGCACCATGGCCAACTCTCGCGAGTTCAAGGAGAGCTTCCACTGCAAACCCAAAGAACCCGTCTGCGAGCTGTGGTAGGGCTGGCTAGGCTAGGTCAGGGAGAGTGACGAGGACTAAAGGCATTGGAGCCGGGAAGTCGCCAATTGTGCTTCTCACATCTTATTCCGGGCACATCACGCCACTGCAGACAGGGCCGTCTATTATTGATCGATCCGATAAGGGTTGGAAGGAAACCAAAAGCATGGTCTCGGGTGAAATACTTTCTCAAAAGTCATGTTTGGTGCGGCATCTGCATCTTGGCCAAAGTGAAAGCCAGCCACTCATTCAGCTTGCACTCTTGTCTCGGACACATGATATGATCTGATATGCTGAGTGCTGAGTGCTGAGTGCTGAGTGCTGCTAGCCCGTGGACAGACCTTGTGCCCACCACACCGTATGATTAATCGGGTCAGACAAGCATTTACTGGTAGCTGAGTAATGGCATAATCTATAATCTTGACGCATTTTCCGGCTTACCAGGCCGAATTAATGGCTAAAGCAGATAGGACAAAGACGGAGTCTAGACGAATGGTTTTTGCCCGCACCGCACCGCATCAAAAGAAAGGGAAATCTTGAAGCCAGGGCAAGAAGCGGCGGATTTAATATTCGATTCCATTGACGTCCAGTAATGCCGCACCACGCTATGCTATGCTATGCTGTGCTATACTATGCTGTACTATGTCGTGCTGTGCTATGCTATGCTACTCTATACCATGCCATGCCCTGTTACTCTATGGTGTGTTAACGTTGGCCATTGGAAGTCCGCACGACTTCAGGACTTCTCGATCTTGAATGTAACGTCAATATCGCCCTTTCCCAGAGGTATGGGATTGGAGTTCTCGTCAAACAGGGTTCTCTCGAAGAATCGAACGTTCCCGGCCTTGTCGGCCAAGACGATAGTCTGCTTCTGAGTCCCATAGATTCCACTGACTCCCAGCCCCGGGGCCTTGACTTGGGGGTTGTTTGTAGGGGTTGGTCGGCCGGCGGACGTGCTGCTGCCGACAACATCAACCTCCTCCACAACCTCGACTTTCTCGTTCAGCCGAGCAGAGCGCAGCTCATCGTCTATGAGACCAGTCATGTCCTTCCGTCCGAGCGGGGGAACGTATATCGTGTCGCGCAGATCCTTAATGTACACTTCTAGTCCGTCTTCGTCGGCCTTGCCTTCCCTTGGGAGAGTATCGTGGCTCAACAGAGCCAGGAACCTCTGGATCAGCTGGTCTTCGGTCTCACTGTTTTCGACAGAATATCGAATGGTGTTGAGCATGAGCTCTTCACCTAATAGGACTTTCTTCCAGGTGCGGTCGGAAAAGGCTGCATTGCTCAGTCCGACCGTTTGCACCGTGTCACCGGCAATCCATGGGACCTGACTCTGGCTCTTCGCACGGTTCGAGATGACCGCCAGCTTCTCGCCAATGTTCCCGCAGACGAGACTGAACCCTCCGGCGTCCTGACTAATGCCCGTCTCGACGACCTTCTCGACAAAGCCTTCAACGGAACCGACGTCCTCAGTAAGGAAATGCTTGATGATTGCACCGCGGCTAGTAGCCGTGGGCGGTGGGATCGTGTCTTCGCGGTAATTGGTCAGAACTGCGATCTTGCCGGTCTTTGTCACTCCCAACCAAGTACCCCGGACCTCGCGCTGCAGATCTCGGCCGCCGAAGACTTGAGAATGAGATTCGGGCCACCATTTCGCAGGGTCCGTTGGCCGATTGACATATTCATCCCGGTTGTCAATCAGGATCAGTGAGTAAGAAGGGTGTGCGGTGGATATAAGGGCGATGCACATCCTGGAGAATACCAATGGACTTCGACGTGTGCATGAGCCATCAGGGACGTATCTCCAACCCTGGAAACCTGGTGTGAGTCCGGTCGAGGAGGGGATCGTGGAATGCTTGGCAAGTATTGCACATCGGTCACAGGTCAGCTTTGAGGTGCCGACGCTGATTGCGGACTATCGATAAGAACCCCTCCCTTAGCCTCCGTGTCTGATATGCTATTTACGTATGGAGTACGTACTATCGGTGCTCATGATCCGCGCTAGAGCCCATTAGTGCCGCCATCGATTACCGAATGCCGACGCCTAGTACGTAAGGCTGCACTTCCCCGGTCTTCATCCGACTGCCCGCAGCGCAGGCATCAATTGCACCTCTAAGAGCACCCAGTCACTGGCACACCGCTCTACCCATCCTCTATCCTTGTTCATCTATCAACACCCCTGGACGCACAGAGACAGGACACCGTGTACTTCCTGTGTGGTGACTGTGCTGCCTGAGATTCCCATATACATTTAACCCCGCTGTTGCACAGGTCCCGCTCTCTCCATTCTTGCTTCTTCTCTGTCTTGACTTCAACAGCTCCTGACCCTCCAACATGTTCGGCATCATAGCAGATCTCATTGCGTGAGTGATATGTCGATCCTGAGTTGGCCGCCAAAATCCAATGTGACCAATACTAACCACGCTCACTACCAGCTCCGGGACTACAATCCTCCTTCCAGCTTACCTCTCCTACAAAGCACTGCGCACCAACGACCCTGCTCAGACGCACCCATGGCTGATCTACTTTACCATCCTCTCCCTCACACTGCTTTTTGAGTCATGGACTCTGTTCATCATCGGCTGGCTCCCGTTCTACTCCTGGATCCGCTTGATCTTTCTGCTCTATCTGGTACTCCCGCAAACGCAAGGGGCGAAGATATTGTACCTCGATTACCTCGAACCATACATCGTCCATCATGAGACTCGAATTGATCAGTTCATCGGCGAAGCACACGAGAGACTACAACAGCTGGGGCTGGGCTATGTGAATGTCGTGATAGAGTTCCTCAGGGAGAAGGTATTGGGTCAAAAGAGTCCACAGTCTCAAGAGGCCCAGCAGGTCGGCTATGCAAGTTATGCCCAAGACCTTCTCTCTCGCTTTACCATGCCTGGAGCACGTACCAATACACCGACTCAGCCCGGCACAACCTCTGCTGGGGTTTATAGCATAGTCTCCCACTTGGCGAGTTCTACTTTTGCGGCATCGACATCCCGTTCCGCGGCATCCGAGGCAGCGACCGTTCCGCCATCTCTCTTCCACGATATACCAGGTAGCAGCTCGGCTGAAAAATCACGCTACATCTCCAGTCAACGTGAGCGACTGGCGAGTCTGCTCAAGGCTCTGGACAAAGAGCAGCAAACCATTGATCTAGCTTATGGATCTGCGGCCGGGCAGCAGTCCTCAAGTGCGGGGTCGGGTGGCTTGAAGGCAAAGTCTAAGAGTGAGCAATCCTTCGAAAATGTCGACTATGAGGACGCAGCACATACCACTAGCTCCTCAAGTGCTAGTTCCAGCCCACCCAAGTCCGCTGCTGAAGGTCGGAGGACGACCAGTGGTAACTGGATCCCGACCGGGGTGGCTGGGTGGTTTGGAGGAAATGGTAGTGGTGGAGAAGATCGGACAGAGAAAGCTAAAGACGACTTGGCGCAGAGAGTCTCCCAAGGGTGGTCAGCAGCCAGAGATATCACTGAGGAAGTAACACGCGGGACGAGTAGCGGCGTCGACACCGGCAGAGGATGAGCAGCGAGGACGGGAATGATGTGTTTTTACCGTAGCTCCCATGTCTGATGCAAGAGCACGACTGAACATCAGGCTCCTGCAAAATCAGATCAGGCAGGCAAAGGTAATAGGATCATGGATCACCTTCGCAAAAAATGTCTCCGCGGGTGCCGGTGTGGGCAAGAGCCTACATCGCACCGGCGACGAGATACCGTTCAAGCTGTAGTCGTAAACAAGAGTAAAAGCTACATTACATCTCAGATGACTGCTGGAACAAAGCGTGCTCGTTTCCTACGAAATGAACAAGATCACCGAGGATAGCCACAGAGCTGCTTCTCTGCAATGCACGTTCAGAACCCCGTCCGTCCCAGCTTGACAGTCTACTGTAGCACTGGTGCCCCGATGACCGATCTGAGCACATACTCCAATTCTATACACGTTACAATATATCATTGCCAGCCAGGCTTCATATCGTACCTCTTCACAGATTCATGCAATCCCAAATTCGCTCTTGGACAAGCCCAAAAATCATATCCCTATCATCACTAAAGATTGACGGCCCAAGGAGGCAGACCACCGTCACAAAACCGCTTGCCCAAACTCCTGTCCGTCATTTGCCTCCCTTATCATGTATCGTAAACCTTCATACCTGTACCAAACCTAGCTTTTGGCTATTTCCCTTGCACACGCCGTTCTATGCCAGAGTGGCAGTCACCGTGTCACCACAGTTCTGGCCGTCCTACCACTCGTAAACTGGTACCACCACAGCGGGGGTAGTGCCACCTCCACGAAAATCGCCCAACACCTCATCTTGGTGGAATAGCATGATAAGTGAGCCTGCTAGGACACTAATCACTCACGGTCGCCTCTTCTTTCCGTGCGTATCCTGAATCGCTCTCTGAACCTGCGGGTGAGCCCGGATCTTTCGTCGTCTGTCGGACGGTGTGCCCTGGCTCGGAGCGTCTCCTGCCTGAGTCGTTGGAGAGCTGCAATGCGGTCCTCTCTTGAGCCATGTGCTAGGTGACGAAGGTGAAGGGTGGTGTCCCTGCGTCCCTGACGGGCAGCAACACTATCAGACGGTCCAGCATCAGAAAGCGGGGGCTGTAAGCCATCTTCGCCAGCCCGGAGAGTGGCGCTGGATCGGCGACGATCGACTCCTTCGCCTTCGGCACCTTGGGCCTGGGGTTTCAATTCGATTCTACATAACGGACACGTGCCGCTAACATTCAATAGCCATGGATCCACGCAATCAGGGTGGAACTTGTGATTGCAAGGTAACACGCGAACTTCTTCTCCTTTCTTGAAGTCTTCGGTACATATAGAGCAGCCGAGATGCCCATCTGCGTCGGTGCCATCGGCGTTACTGGTAGCAATGACAGCCGTTGTGCGAGCAGCCGAAAGTGCATCTGCAGCAGTGGAGTTATTTCTGCTGGTCGACTTTTCAGGCGAAGACTGTTCATTCGTCGTTGCCTCTTCGGTATTGCCGGAGTTCATCTCGATGTCTGCACCTTCCGCTGGTTGCTTTCGAGCATCTACGGGGTCGCCGAACTTCACAATTGGTAGTGTTTCAAGCATTGCTCTAGCGACACCTCTTGCTCTGCTCTGCCGACCACGTCCGACGATATTCCGAGGACCATATCGTTCCGGGTGCCTATGCGCTCGAATAGCGCCGGTGACGATGATGACAACGAACAGAGCGGTGATGATTCCGGTGATGGAATACAGTATGATCATTGCCACAGCAGTAGTGGGAGACTGGCCCAGAGAAGGGCTGTCGCTGGGCGAGCCATTGGAAGAGTTCGTAAAAGCGTTTAGGTCCGGGAGGATGGTGGCAACTCCAGGGCTGTTCTCATTAAGATTTAAGGAAGCCAGGCTTGATGCAATCATTGTGTCGGTAGTGGTAAGAATATACTCAATGGTCGGGAGATTGCTCAGCCCCGTAGCCGTGCAATGGGTACTGGTTTCGCTGTAGAGGATGACAATGCTTGCACGAGCCGAATTCACAACGATTTTAAAAACGGCGCTTGCATCCAGATTGCCGGTGTATTTCTCTGGGTCGCACGAAAGGTACGAGAATTGACGGACATTGGCGATGTCATTAGCATTGCTTGCGTCAACATTAACCAGGAGGCCTTGGAAATAGGTCTTGACAAAGTCGTCATGGGATTCTCGAGCGTAAGGGCCCAGAGGTGCCAGCCGCACAACAGGTATGTCTGAGAACTCGGAGCCGTTCATGATGAATCTGGGGGAGGTCGAAATAGCAGCGAGATCTTCAGTAGAATTGGATGGAGCGATCGTCTGCGCATGTGAACCCAATGACACCAGCAATAGCCATGCCAGGGAGACAGTCCACCATTGCCCGCAGGCATGGGAAGTGCGCATTTCGCTGGATGGGTATGTCAACCTGGCTCTTGCTTTGAGAATTCACCTCCTTCCCCACGTTCCTCGAGGACTCCGGCCTGGATCGACGAAGCGGACCCGATCGGTTGGATAGGCTTCGATATGAGGTTATTGCGACACTGGCCGGAAGGATATATACTTGATGATGTTCTCCTAGACGCTTGTCACTTTGTCAAGGCTGGGCGGCAAGGCGGAGTCGAGGGATTTGAGTCGGGCGGTGCTGCTGACATCCGGGTTTCGCAAAAGGGTTAGTAGGTCATTGCGAGAAAGAAGTCCTGGTCTACCAGACAGCCGATGCTGAGGAAAAGGAGCGGTAGGAGTAGTAAGGCATGATTTGGAAACCGCTTGAGCTTGTTGGGCTGTGTCGGACTGAACTGAGACCGCAGCCGTTTCGAATTCGAAGTTGTCACAGACCTTGCAGACGCTCGGAACAACGGGATGAGCAGACCAGGGAACTTGGTTTTGGCGAGCCAGTCGATGTGCGTTCAAGGAGTGGGTGTGAAATGTGTGGGGAGGATGTGCGGTTGGGCTGTCCAGTAGTGTCCGGTAGGTGTCCGGTGTCCAGTGTCAGGCCTGTCTGCTGACCAGCGATATCCGAAAGCTCCTAAGCGCCGCCTGATTGAGCAACTCACATTGTCCGTGGCGCGGGGGGCTGTGTGATATGGGCCGTGCGTACTTCTAATCGCTAGGATTGCGGGATTTATTCTTCGATGGTTGATGTTTAGGATCACTCGCCGGCAGCGGACAGAAAGGATGCCGGAGGAAGGGAGTACCTGGAACCTGCCACAGCTGCCATCTCACAAATATCTTGAGGTCAGCAAGCGGTAGGGGAGGACGGGGGAGAATTTGGAGATTGGAGAGAGATAGAAGGAGGTACTGCTCCTAATACTACTAGGGACAGAGGTACCTGGAGACTGGAGGCGGGAGCAGTGTTTAAGGTAGGTACTGTAAGTATGGGCCCCGTAGCCCCTAATCCCCGGGGTAAAGGGTCCCCCTAATACCCAAACAATGGCAAACTCAAAATGCCTATAACCATCAGCTTGGTGCCTAGAGGCCCCGAAAGTATTAGGCGTGCAAGTCATGACGTCTTCATGCAACCCTACTCGTACCAGGTATAATTACACTCTGCTTTCTGACTGCGCGCATTACTCCATGACAGATCTTAAAACAACATCAAATACTGCTCCAGAGGATTTGTCTGCTTGACACTTTCTCTCTATCTATGGCCTCAATGTGTCAATAGCAGATGAGTCTTTCATGTCACCAAAATATCTCTGCATTCCGAATCCGAGATACCAAGAGGTGCCCGGTGCCCGCAGGTAGTACCTGACCTATCGTAAGTTGTAGCTGTGGTAATTACCTAGGTAGTAGCAGCAGTAATTAGATAGTGCCTTCGTATCACGTCGACGCGTCAGGGAGTCAAGATCGCGTCTCCCAGAAGTGATTATTGTTCAGGACCGATTTTACCCTGGCGCACTGCTCCTGGATATCCCACCTCTTCTGTATGATTAGTGCTGTCCCCATCTGTATACTTCTGGCCGCCAGATTTATAAGACTTTTACTGTATCATTCAACCATTACCTTCGAAACCAAAACAATCGCGTGAAATGGTTCAATTACGTGACGGTAAACATGTCTCGGCTCCGACAGAAAAAATGCCTAAAACAGTTTCTCGAAAGCGTCGAGCTTCTCACATGGATGACGACAAGGAGAACCACCCTCCAGCCGTTGATTCTGAATCTGCGACTACAGGAATGACCTTGATGAAATCGAAACACAAGAACGCAAGAGATGGGAAGCTCGCAAGACAATCGGTAGAAAAAGACCCGGGACGGACATCCAGCCAGCTGCCTAGCACACCAACCAGCAAAGTTACCAAGCCTAGCATTCGTGATCGGCGACCAACGCCTGGGAGAAAGGTTCCTCCGCGTGGTTCTCCGCCAAATGCATTCCGGCCTGAGATCGACCCTGAACGAATGAGGAATCCAAAGCCGCTGCCGCCACCAGCAAAGAAACGTGGGAATTCTGGCCCAAATGATGATCGATTTAAGAAAGAAGCGCTCAGAGATCCCAATCATACGTTCCACGATCTATATGTTTGCTATAAGAAAGGTCCCCGCGGCTCTCCAACTTATGATCGCGCATGGTTCCAGCTCGACTACCATAAGGTAGCGGAGTGGATGAAACCAAAAGTCTACAACAAGCGCAGTATGATGCGAAGCATGGAGATATACGTTGAGAGAGCGCAGCAAGAGCAAACCAAGATGGCGGAGATTTTCTTTCTAAGTGGCACAGTTCCCAAAGACGTCCCTGCGCGCGACGTAGCCATGTGGAAGGATCGAGTGTCTAAAGACCTGGACATCCCCTTCCACAAAATCGATGTTGCCGCGTTCGAAGAATGGGAGAGAAGAGGGTTCGAAAAGCAATTGCCCTCGGATTGGACTTGGACGTCGCTCTCTGATGAGGAGAAGGAGAGACTGTTCAGGCTAGGAGACGGGCTCTCGCTGAGAAAATGATCTGAGAACTTGAGAGACTCCGAGCTGTCAGAATTACGTGCCAGCCAACACGCGGCAACCTACCGCAAAACGAATCGGCCCCAAGCACCTCACCCGGCCTCCCATGAGTCTACCCGCTGTCACTTAGTTCAACTTTAAGAGTAACTGCGACAGTGCGGATTGACAAAATTGAAGTATCATTCGTTTGACATCATGTTCTGAGCTACTAAGTATGGAACAATGCGACTGCAGTGCAGGAAAGATGACCACAGATTACGTTGGTTATATAAGCAGCCTCGTGGCTGTGGTGGCTGGTCTCTCTAGGGTCCTGATAGGGTGAGACTTGAACACCACACTAATACCCCGGATCCATTACCCGGTGCCTCCTAAAGCCTGATCTCTTGGCAGTGACGTCTCTTGAGTTAGGTACCTGCCCATTCTAGCGAAGTTGAACTCACTCTCAGTCTGTTCTCCAACAGATCGAATGCCCTTATTACCCAGCATCCCAATGTCGAATATGGCACCTTCAAGAGGGGCCTCTCACATCGAAGGTGATGGCGATATCGCTGTACAACAACAGTCCAACTCAGCTCTCGCAAAGGCAAGACGCAACCTCAAATACCTCATATCGCCAACCTCCCCTGGCGCTGAGAAGCCTGCACGGCTCCGCACTAGAGCGTTGTTGCGTACCTTGAGGTACGTTAGTCAATTCATCATCTGGCGACTGGTGCGATGGGCCAAGTACGTGGCGGTTGGGTCACTTGTGGCTGCGATAGGAGCCACTGCTATCGGCGGAGCGGTCTCCGGCGTTGCCTGGCTGGCAGCTCCTCCTACGTTCGGAGCTAGTATCATCGCAGCATCAGTGTGGGGCGTTGGGAAGTTTGTAGCTGGACGACTGCATAAGAGGTGGGAGAAAGAGGGAGGGGATGCAGGAGAGGCAATGAGAGAGCGAGTCGAGGACACCCAAGACGTCAGGGGGGATGGGTCGTTTGGGATTGATATGGGTCCACGAGCAGCGCCTTGGTGAAGATCAAAAGGCCACCGTGCTGCGGAATGCTCCTGGCGCACACGATTCAGTTGACGACCAGGGAGGCATGTTGGAATGAAGAACGAGTCCTGCCGTTGAACCGACCATTATCCCCAACACATATCAAAGCTCAACAGAAATCGGGGGCCTTTGGCACATGTTCCATGTGCTGATGTATAGAGCCATCATGCATGGATGCCAGAAAGGGCACCATAGTGCGAAGTAGGCAGCCAATCCAACGCTGCCAGTCATAACAGATGCCGCGCTGGAACAAGAACTACCGCTGGCAAGACCCCATAATGCCGCCACATGTCAGAATGCAAAAGATTCGAAGAGCCAGGGCAGATGTTGGACTTGACTTCCTTGTGATGTCGCAAAGCGGGATCATGCGTGGATGTTTCCTCGTGCGGTATCTCAACATTTGACTGGTCCCAATAAAGTCCGCCATGAAGTCACATGCGTACCTAGGTAGCTGCACAGCGGCAATACAGAAACATATCATAGGCACCTATAGGTATGACGGGGTCGAGATAGGGACATCATATCTGTTCCTTTGCTTGAAGCCAATGTATGCTGGGATCAGCAATGCCCAACCGAAGACAATGAATGAATGAATAATACCTACCTTACCTTAGGTCCGGGGTACGGAGTACCGGATTCTTTTAGGTGGCAATACGAGCAAAGTACGGAGTACGAGATACGACGGGCTGACCACGGGACATCTTCCGGTGCCCAACAGGTTTTTTGGCCGGTGGCCTGTCCTGTCAGGTTACTCGATTTTGCCACGGATAAATGACCCCCGAGGCCCTGGCCGCCCCATCACTTTTTCCACACCATGATACAATGTTAGAATAGCTGGTCCTATGGGAAGCTTTTCACTGCGGACGCTTCTTGAAGCGATATTATGCACCTCTACCATAGTCTTGTCCAATTCGTCGTACTCGGTACTGCTGTACTCCGTAGTGCTTATAGAGCTATCTGACACAGGGTTTTGCGGCGAAATTCAGGGCCTGGCTTCTAGGCAGCTTCTAGCGCAAGGCACAGCAGCTCTCCACCAATCAGGGCGTGTATCTGCGGCTAGACGACAGCTCTGAGCCCCTGCGCTTGGAGCTGCTAGTGACGTGTGTTTCCCCAACAAAATTCATCCTCAGCCTTTCTCCCTCCCGACACAGCATGCAGGCTTCCCTTGCGAAAAAAGGCACCTGAGGTCTGGTGGAATGAAGTAGCTCTCGTCCAAACGGATCACCCTGTTTGGTCAACCCTCACCACACATCTTCACCCTCCTGTGGTCTGGCCTCGGAACAAACAGCAGCAGGACCCGTCCTTTGCCCCGTCTGGTTCCTGCCGTCTCGCCATCCCCACACCCTGCACCAGGCGACTCAACATATCTCAGACACAGACCAAGCTTAGCCCCTTCATATATTTTGATCACTCCCGTCGAGCTTTTCTTCAAGTCTTCACCCTCGCTTCACCTCCATTCTCTCTGGCATTGGTTGATCACTGCCAACTGTCCAACATGCCTTCGCACCAACCCACCGCCGGTGACTTGGCCGTCAAGCCAGAGTACCTCTCCTCTCAGCCGTCGCCCATGGCCAAAACCACCGAGCCCAACCGGAACCCGAAGTACGACCCCAAGAAAGTGCACATCACCGAGACTCCCATCACCAGGTCAAACTGGTACAAGCACGTCAACTGGCTCAATGTCACTCTGATCATCCTCATTCCTCTCTATGGCTGCATCGGAGCCTTCTGGGTTCCTCTACATCTCAAGACTGCCCTTTGGGCCGTGGCTTACTACTTCGCCACTGGATTGGGAATCACCGCTGGCTATCACAGACTATGGGCACACACCTCGTACTCGGCTACTCTTCCTCTGCGAATCTTCCTCGCTGCCGTTGGCGGTGGCGCTGTTGAGGGTTCGATCAGATGGTGGGCCCGCGACCACCGCGCCCACCACCGATACACCGATACCGACAAAGATCCATACTCTGTCCGGAAAGGACTCATGTATTCCCACATTGGGTGGATGGTCATGAAGCAAAACCCAAAGAGGATTGGCCGAACCGATATCTCGGACCTGAACGAAGATCCAGTAGTCGTCTGGCAACACCGGAACTACCTCAAGGTAGTCGTCTTCATGGGCCTCATTCTGCCGACAATCGTTGCCGGTGTGGCGTGGGGAGATTGGTTGGGTGGTTTCGTCTACGCTGGAATCCTCCGCATCTTCTTCGTTCAGCAAGCCACTTTCTGTGTGAACTCTTTGGCTCACTGGCTCGGAGAGCAGCCATTCGATGACCGCAACTCCCCTCGGGACCATGTTATCACTGCTCTTGTTACTCTTGGTGAAGGTTACCACAACTTCCACCACGAGTTCCCGTCCGACTATCGCAATGCCATTGAATGGCACCAGTATGACCCCACTAAATGGTCGATCTGGATCTGGAAACAACTTGGTCTCGCCTACGATCTCAAGCAGTTCCGCAGCAATGAAATCGAGAAAGGCCGTCTCCAACAGTTGCAGAAGAAAATCGACCAGAAGCGGGCCAAGCTCGACTGGGGCGTGCCTTTGGACCAGCTGCCGGTCATGGAATGGGAAGACTATGTCGACCAAGCCAAGAATGGTCGTGGGCTGATCGCCATCGCCGGCATTGTCCACGATGTCACCGACTTCATCAAGGACCATCCAGGTGGCAAGGCAATGATCCAGTCTGGTATTGGAAAGGATGCTACTGCCATGTTCAATGGTGGCGTTTACGGGCACAGCAATGCTGCCCACAATTTGCTGTCGACGATGAGGGTCGGTGTCATTCGTGGCGGTTGCGAGGTTGAGATCTGGAAACGTTCTCAGATGGAAGCCAAGGGTGAGACTCGTGACCTCAACGGGGAACGGGTCGTTCGAGCAGGACTCCAACCCACCAAGGTGCTCCAAAACACACCCACAGCGGGTGCTGCTTGAGTCAGCTGATGTGCACGAGTTTCAATAGACCTAACGAACCCCCCTATTAGCTAGCGAATGGATGTTGTTTGGCGTTTGGAGTGCAACAATGGAATGGGATTGAAAGATGCAGATGGAGCATGATCCGTGGATAGTGTCTTTTTTATTATCAGTATTCCATCATTGCAAGACAGCCTCAGAAAGCGTTTGCTGTATGAACATTGACGATGATGTCAACCCAACCCAACCCAACTCAACTCTTCTCAATCACGGGAACATTTCATTGCTGTGTCGATTTATCGTAGCATTATAGCGGCGATGGTCTCCAACTCCGCTCCTGGTCCTAAGCCCACAGGGATCTCCGCCAGCCTCGGATCGGATGTAAGCACTGAGCCTTGTCAGTTCACAAAGTATCCAAGGGAGTCCATCACCTTCTGAAGGCCGACTCGCCAATCCCACCATCACCCATCCGCTCTCCGAGATCGCGCAACGTGTGTCCATTGCAATGTGGATTGGCTTCACTTCCTCCTCGAAACTCATGGTCCCCTCTATTATTATCATCTACATGTGTCCCGCATCCATTCACTCCTTTGATGTCACCTAGGCCGTTATAGTCCGTTGCAACCCACCAACGATTGTGTGATAAACAACCCCTCCACCGCCCAACCGCCATGTCTTTCCGCGAACAGGGGAACGAGCATTTCAAGGCCGGTGAATACAAAGAAGCCGAGGCGCTCTACACTCAGGCGTAGGTTGGTGGACTACAGGAAGCCGATAGCTTGACTAATCACGCCTCAGCATCGCCGAACACTCTCGCTCCGACCCCAAGGTCTTCGCCAACCGTGCCCTCACCCGCCTGAAACTGCAAGACTGGCCAGGCGCCGAGTCCGATGCCAGGAAAGCGATTGAATTGTATGGACCCAAGAACAAACAAGCGGCCATGAAATCGCATTATTATCTGGCCCAAGCACTTCTGCCACAACGGCACGTCCGTGAAGCGCTGGAAGAAGCCAAAACGGCCTACGCGATCTGTATCGAGACCAGAGACTCCAGCGCCGAGTTGATCGGCCAATTCATTCTGAAGGCGAAACAAGCCCAATGGCAGGCGAAAGAGACGGCGCGGCTGAGAGACTTGAACGAGACCCTGGCCCTAGTGGAAGATCTGTTGAATCAACAGCTACAGCGCGACGTTCAGAGTGTGGAAGAACGGTTTGCCAAAGGGGAGATTGGCGAGACCGGAAAACGGGAAGAGATCGAGGAGTTCGAGAAGGAGACAGAGAGCAGGCGAAGTATTGTCCGCAAAGCATTCCAAGATCCTAGCAATCCGGAATCAATGGAGAGAGTATGTTCATGTTCCATTATCCCCAACCAGGCCTATTGTGGCAGTCGATATTGACAATCCGCCCCAGGTCGTTCCGGACTGGCTGATCGATCCTATCACGTTTGAAGTCATGCACGACCCCGTCGTCACGCCGACTGGCGTCTCTTTCGAACGTGTCAGTCTGCTCAAGCACATCAAGCAGACTGGCTTGGATCCGTTGACCAGACTACCTATAAGACCCGATCAATTGATCCCCAACGTTGCTTTGAAGAACGCCTGCAATGAGTTTTTGGAGAAAAACGGCTGGGCGGTCGACTGGTGATGTTTGGGCATGTTGTGACAAGGAGCATGGTTTGGTTAGCATTGAGCAATGGTCTTGCATCTTGCATCTTGCAGCTTTGGCAAGCGGCGGCGTCAGGACAGGGTTTGGGTTTTGACAGAGCGATGTGTGCTCTTGAGCGTCAGCGAGAATGTTTATTGGTCTTTGCCCATTCTTTTACTTCTTATTTAGGATGATATGCAGTGGTTTCATGAAGTTGAAGTTGGCGGCACGACAACATCAATTCAATCTCAATAAGCTGATATTGTTCTATCACGGCGTACTGGACAGATTATGCAACCTTTAAACCTGTCTAGTCACACATTGATTCACTAGAGCTGGCAGAAATTAAAGGGCCAGAATCGGTGTCTAGAAGAGTCTTGAATGGAGAGCCTCACGAACCCTTGTGCCGAGCCTTGTAGCTAACCCTAGTAATCAAGAGACACTGGCAGGAGACAAGACTTGACACTGCCAGATGCTACAGTATACGGAGTGTGTCGGCCCTTACCGGCCTGTCACCGCCAGACTGCGGTGGTCATGCTTTGCCAGCACCACTAGTAACACCAGTTCTGGTGGTACCCCGCCAAATTCTGACGTCTTTTGCTGGAGCCTCTACTGCATGTTTGTTGCCCTCTCGAAACTTGCCTTGGCCGAGTCTTTCCCACGTCTATACCGCCAATTCAAGGGAACTTTGTGAAATCAGATCTTCACACATCAAGTCCAGTCTGTAAGTGTACTTGAGAATGAAGACTCAACCCTTCTCCCTGTCCCCGTCTCCATTGTCGTCGAGGAGACGGAAATAGAGAGTCACGCTCCAGTTCTAAGCACCTCCCTCTGCTGTCAGAAGTTGAGCTCGGGTTCCTGAGCTCACATGCTCGCTCCCATTCAGCTTGCATTCCACACAGTCCTGTTCTGAGAACTAACTTCTTCCTAGTCAGAAAAATCCCTCCAGTCATCCGCTTCTCGTCCCGAAAAGTTTTCTGCCAAACACCAGCTTCCGGCACTCTGTTCCCTAGAATATATTTGCGAGACGCCTGACTACCAACACAAGATCCAAGATGCCTTCTGCCGCATTCACAAAGGCCGCCGAGGAGAGCCGCCAGCTCAAAGCCAAGCCGAGCAATGACGAATTGTTGGAGGTGAGTACGAATTTCGATTCAGATATTGTTTGGCCGCATCTCTTTTTCCGCAGATGAGATTGGGAAATGGCGCTCTGGGATGCAGAAGTGGTAGGGATGATACTGGGTGACGTCGCTTCCGGAACAAGAGAAGGGACCAAATGACAGCAATAAGGACACGGCTAGGCGGGGGCAAGTTGGACGTTGAGGCCGACAGAGAGCTGACACACTCCGTCTCTCTCTCCCCCCCCGCCTACGTTGACTGCGTTGGTCACCAAGCTTTCTGTTCTGGTTGCATCACAACTCCCCATGCCCCGGCCGAGGCTCGGCGTGTGACGGTCTCGTTTCATCGTCGGCTAGGAGGACCACCTGCCCAAAACACTGCCAGGATTGCATGATATCAAACGATCAAGATGTAGCTGACTCTATTTTTGTTTGCCCTTCCAGCTCTACGCTCTCTTCAAAGTCGCCAACGGCGAGGACTTTTCCAAAGCCACTGCTCCAGGCATGTTTGACCTAAAGGTACGTTGTTCAGAGTCCCCGCGCTCATATACGGACTTGCCTGCATCTCTCGACCATCACCCCCATATGCCCTGAGCTCAGCCAACTAACATGCACGTGTCTCTATCGGATTAAAGGGCAAAGCCAAACACAAGGCCTGGCAGAAAGAAGTCGACGCAGGCACCACGGCCGCGGACGCCGAGAAGCGATATGTCGAGCTCGTGGGAAAACTGAAGGAGAAATATGGCTTCGACCCGTCAAAGGCGCCTGAGGCTGTCGGCTCGAACTGAGTCGAACTGCACGGCCAATACGACCTAGGATGCCTTGTGGAGCATGACTGAGTGTGGCATGCACTGCAAGCTACAAACATGCAGCAAATGGAGATACGTGCTGCAAGGTCACAAGAATGGACGGGAGGCGTGGTATGAGGAACTACAAAGCCTGTGAACGACAGTCTACTTGCTCTGCTCTCTTCTGGCCGCATTTTTCCTTGTGGCATACAGTGTCTGTCTCGTGTTCTCTACGTGTTTATCGCCTGCTTTATACACGGTCCTTCATCGTCTCGTTTGTTTAAAGAGAATTGGCTGAGTGGTTTAAAGCAATAAGCTTGAAACTTTCTCATACAGTGCCCATCTTCTTGTTTTCTAATCACCCAACCCTAGCCCTTACTAGAGTCCCCATCTCTTGTTTTCCAATCACCCAGCCCTAGCCCTTACTTAGATCTCCAGGCGTTGAAGCCCGCTGCGGTAATGCATGACGTTGAAGCTACTGACCTAGATCATGCAAGGACAAGGAGCGAGTCACACGGTGGAGCTACTGACCTGGATCATGCAAGGACAAGGGGACAAGGGGACACAAAGCGAGCCACACGGCCTAGCCTAGCCGTCCTTCTCTTCTGTTGCTTGAATTGAAATGGGCCCGTTACGTCGCCAAACTCGCGTCGTTGCCTAAAAAGAAGAAAGGGAATACATACCAAACGGTCCTCATGTCCAACTTGAAGAGAAGAGAAGAGGAGAGGCGGCCTGGCATTGGCATTGGCCTTAGCCTCTCTCTTTCATAATGGACCAGTACCATTACCATTACCATCATGTATGATTCCTTGAGTGAAAGACTCGCGGTCATGTCAATATCATCCTTGGACGAAGAACTCTTAAGGTATGCCGCTATTCCAGCCGATCGGGGTCTTATCATAGCGTACTGTAAGTCCGCGTTCGCGTTCACGTTCACATTCAGGTTCGCTTGGAGAGATAAATCCCAAATCTAAGCCAAAAGAGTACAGTCCATCATTGGGCTGCCTCGACCGACATGACAATATCTAATATCAAATATCTGATACTGATACTGATAGATAGATGTACGGACACTTTTGTCCCTAAGGGTCAGAAGAAATCTCTCGGCCACCGTCTTCCGTGTCGATCGGGCGCATCGTAAGTGCCCTGCGGCGACCAGGGCATGTTGACCTCGGCGTACGGCGTCAATGGCAGGTCATAAGGCAAGCGAAGGCCGACGACGGTACTGGTATCGACAGAAGGATCATGCGCGGCGGGCGAAGGTGACAGTGACGGTGACGGTGTGTCTTGACCGAACACGGGTACCATCCGCACAGTACGAATACTCGTGGTGCAGTAGTCATCATCGTCCAACTTGGTGGTGTTGGGGCTGGCAACATCATCGCCAAACAGCTCAGGCCAGACCAGGACACCGATCTCAAAACTCTGTACAACCACCTCTTTGGCCTTTTCCTTCCCCTTCCCCTTCCCCTTCCCCTTTTCTGTTTCGCGCAATGCCCCCCAAGCTTGCGTCGACAGGTTTGCGCTCGTCATCAAGGCCCAATCGATATCGGGCACCGGATCGTCTATGGTCGGTTTGCTGCGGAAGCGGACATACGTCTTGATATGCGGCGCCGCCAGGTCTCTTCTTGCTCTGCTCTCCTCCCGCGGTCCGCGGGTCCATTGACACAGTGCGCTGCGCAGTGAAGTGATCTGCTTCAAGTGTGCCGCGCTCTGCGCCTTGGTGTGGATCGAGCCACCTGACGCGTACCCGTCAAGTGACGCGGCGACGTTGCTAGGGGTAGGGTAGACGATTGAAAGGTTGGTATAGATCTGCGCCGGCGCGGTCGGTCTACTCTTCTGACCACAGATGGCAGGGAAGAACTGGTTCAGCCAGGGCATGGGGAGGGTGGCGATGGACGAAACTTGACAGACTACATGAGGGTGAGGGTGAGATTTGTCGAAGTTGCTCTGGTCGGCTGTCGCAGTCTTAGTCTTCGATTGACATTGGCCGGGACAGACGGTTTCCAGGGCTCGGAAAAGACTTGGATAACCCCAGAGTTTCTGGTCCCAGAGGGCTTGGGCATCCATTTGAATAGACAGATTCTTCATCCGTGACGGTACCGACGCAATAAGGGCGCCTCGGACACGGCTGAAATCGTACTGTACAAGCTCGTCTCTCAGATGTTTGGTCTTGGAGCCGTACGCAGATAGATAAGCCATGAGGTCGAGCTTGAAGCGCGATCCAGTCCCAATGCGTCCGACCGTCGTGCTCGGATTTCCCAAAACTTCCATCTTGGGGAGCATGGGAGACTGCCAGACAGCCTGGGTCATGTTGGTCCAGTCCTTCTGCAGCATGTTGGCAGTATGGATGACGACCTGGGCCAAGTCGTCGTGGGTGAATAGGATGAACATCTTGCTATGGTGCGTTCCGAACGGGTCGGGCAGGTACGCGGTCATGGGTTCGACGTTTGGCCAGCGCCGGCATGCATCTTCGATCCCAATTCTGTTCGCGTCTTCGGCCCTCCACGATCCATGAACCACTTTGACCTTGACCTGCGCCCGGATGTCGGCGTCAAAGTAGCCCATCAGCCAGTCCACGTCGAAGCAGTAGTTGAAGATCCACGCCTCCTTGATCAGCGGGTTTCCTAGGATGTCGTGGAGGGAGACGGTGTCGATGTTCTGAGATGCAGGAAGATCGCGGATCGAAGTGAGTTTGAACGGCGACGGAAGCGGCCTCCAGCTCAAGGCAGTGGAAACGTTGCTTGTGGGGGATGTGGTCTCGACGGTCGCAGACACTTTGCCCCTAGTAGGTCGTTGGTCTTGATCGTGCCCACGACCATGCGGTGTCCGGCGATCCGGCACATCACCAAGACTTCGAGTCTCCTGCCAGCGCCGGGAGGAGGAGGAGCCCTTGTTTCGGTGGTCCGCTTGAGGAGTGGTTGTGCCAGACCGAGACACGGCAGGCGGCGAGATGGACCGTGAAATCGAATCCAGAAAGGCAGCGCGTTTGGTGCGAATCGAGGCCCGGTCAGTGTCAGTAGTGACAGCTCGCTCATTCAAGGCAATGGGCGACGCGCCATCGTGGTCGTGGTTGTGGTCGGCGTCGGCGTCGAGCTTGAGACGCTTCGAGGGTGGCGAAGTCATGCTATGCTGCTGGAGAAAGGCGGTGTCGAGGCCGGTGGTGGTGGTGGTGGTGGTGGTGGTGGTGGTAGTGTTGAGATGTTCATGAGGTGACAGAGCGGCGATGTTCCTGTTCCTGGCGGGTTGGGAAGGACGCTGCCGCCACTGCATCGAACCACGATGCACATCACCGCGATGTACTACTACTAGGTCGTCTTATTTGGCAGTTCGATGGTTAGGAATTTCTTCACCCTCTGTTGCGCTTCATCATCAACATGGCCCTGGCGTCGGCGTTACTTCACTTCGGGAAATCGATTGTATGATGCAAAGTACGTTCGAAAGCCACGGCCAGGGCCACGACCACGACCAGCATGGATGGTTCCATGTCATCGGAGGCTGTACAGGTATAGAGTTCTATTTTGCCGTCTACGTCCTCCCACCCTTTCTTTACCCCGGCGACGCACTTTACACTGGCGACGCATGGCCTTGGCCATATTGGCCCCGGTTGTCCACGCTGAAGATCAACAAGGCCATGGTGTGTCTCACAAACAAGCCGAACAGTCCACACACGCTTTGCATGATCAACAGCTCCCTTGTCAGCTGGTCTTCTCGCATCGGGCCTCGCCACACCAGCCACAGGTTAATGATGGTCAGGTTGGACGTGCTCGAGATGCGGTTCGTCTTGGGATTCACCGTCACCTGCAGCAAGTGCAGCTTCTCCAGAGTGAAGAAAACCGTGGTCAGGAGCTTGCTTGGGGGCCGGTCATCCGGCCAGGGCGTCACGCTCGGCTCGAGCATGCCAGTCCTCGCATTGAACTTGGGGAGTCGGTGTCTTGGACATGGAATGATCTTGAAAAGCTGAGGGGTGCTGTACACGAAATTGACGATCTGAGGAATGAGAAGCAGCAGGAGTGTCTTGCTGAAATGTGCCATGATCGCAACCACTGCAAAGGTCATGCCGGCCACATAGCAATACGTGTCGCCGACAAAGACTCGGGCCGGGTATCGGTTGTGGATGTACAGCGCGGCGGACACGCCCAAGAACGGCAGGAGTAGGTACAGGGTCAAGAGGTGCGAGTCGGTGGCCGGGTGCGGGTGTGTTGCGTAACCATTGCTCAAGACCGGATTTCCAGGAAACGGCACGAGGTAGAGCGATGAATTGAGGATCAACAGCACAGCGACGACCAGCGCCTGGCCGACCTCGATCCCGTTGACCCCGGCCAGGATGTTGATCGAGTTTGGCGCAAAGATCGACAACGCCGACAGGTACAGGTAGTAGAGGAAGGACAGGTTGATAAGTCGCGTCTGGTTCGGCATATACTGGACCAGGAAATTGGGCACCACCACCGACGTCACTCCGAAATCGACATAGTAGACGATGAGCAGCGGCAGCGAGGCAATGGCCGGGATGAAGAACTTGTGCCTCCATCGGAGGTCCAGGATATCATCGGCCATACCAAGAATAGTGGTGGTTTGGAGAGTGTTCAGGGCCGATTGATACGAGGACAGTTTCGAGTGCGGGAAGCGGTGCAGAAAGCGTCCTGTCTCAACCTCGCTGATGGTGATGACCACGTCCCGGTTCCCGCCCCCCGAGGTGGCGGCGACGATGTCCTTGTAGAAGGCGAAGGGGATGAAGGCCATGAGGACGAGGATGTAAACCGATGCTGCAACAGCCCCCAGGGCCTCCGGGCTAGAAACAACCGTTGTCAGCAAACACGCTCTCGCTCTTCCACAGGGCGGACTGCTCGGAGCTCACATTTCTTTCGGGATCAATTTGCTCATGTCCCTGCCCTTCAGACCAGCCTTGACAAACGACGGGCCTGACCATCGGACAAAGGCATAGGTCATGGAGAAGGCCAAGGTTGAAAAGGCCAGAGATGCCACCAGAGGGGCACCGCCGCCATCGAAGGAGTTTGCGATGACGGCCAGAGAAGCGCCGGTCAGGAGCAACAGTGACCATTTCTCCGAATGCGACAAGCTGGAAGACATGATGCCTGCCCGCTCAGCAAGAAGATGGGTTGAGACGGTATTGCTGTATGTAGACTTGTCCTACCGCAACGCCATGACAGTCTTGGTAAGACCAATCGTCCTCAAACAAAGAACAAAGCGGGAAGAGCGAAGACAGGTTGGCTGACAGTAGACTGACAGAATGACACCTTCCACCTTCCAGTACGGAGTCCACGCAGGTAGTAGTGTCCAGCCACCAGCAGAGATGGGTGGCAGAGCAAAGGTGGAGGTATTGCTCTATACGGCGTACTCGACAACCTGTCCTCTTGGTCTATTTTCTGTATAGGCGAGCAGCCTGGTGACTGGGACTGCACGTGCATAGGGCGGAGTGGCCGTCGGAACGATGTTATTCCGGCCGGACGCAGCCTTCTCGCCGCCGGCCAATCAGGAGCAGCGGGCACGAGCCTTCCGATCTCGACCCTCGACCTCATTCTCGCTGCTTCATCCAACTGAGATTGATTGCTATCAACCTCGCCCCGGCCTGCAGTATCGTTGAGTGCTGGATCCCGTACCATGCCTCGAATGGGCTCGACTGCCTGAACTAGCAAACTAGCACTGCCCCTGGTCGCCGGTATTCCCAGATTTGGATCCTGCCATGGCTTGAAGCAGCTTAACTGTTGACTACACCACTGCGACTGACGTGACGACATCCCCATCCCCATCCCCGATGGGCAAAGCTGAGGAGTTCGAGACCGGCCACCAGGACCGCGTGACGGTGCTGCACACCAACTTCAACGGCACCAGGATCCTCACCGCGTCAATTGACCACCGCATCAAGGTGTGGGATCGCAACGTGAAGACGGGCGCGCGCACCTTGGTCGACACCTTCACCGCCCACGACTCGGATATCAGGGACGTACGTACTGTCCTCCCCCCTTCCCCGTCCCCCGTCTCTATCTGTCTTGCGGTCTACGTCTTACCTACCCTACATCTGCCTGACCTGACCATGATTCAGGCCAAATTCCTCCACCCAACCACAGGCTCGCACATCGCGTCCATCGGCAACGACCTCAAATTCCAGTTGTGGGCCGAAGACGTGGCACAAGCGCCGAACAGTGGCCGACGATTCCGACGCATCAGCACCATCCAGTCCACGCCACGCGTCCCTTTCGTATCGCTTGACCTGAAGACGACCGACAATGTGTACATGACACTGGCGCTCATCGACCGTCAGGGACTTCTGAGTATCTACGAGCCGACCAACCCCGACGACCTACGGGAGTGGACGCTGGTCGACGTATTCAACGTGTGTGGCGTTAACCCGCCCGGCCGGGGCGATGAAACGAGCTTCAAAGTCCGCTGGGACCAGAACCCGACCCCGCTGGCATATGTGAACAGTGTCAGCAACGACCGGAACCAGCTCAGCCTGGTGGTGTCGGCGCTCAATGAAGTCAAGCTGTACCGCTCCATGGTCCCCAGCAGCGGCGATGGCCCCGGCTCCGGCACCTCCAACGCCAGCCACCGAATCATGTTCTACGAAGCGGCGCGCCTACCGCGCCACCCGGCCCTGGTGCGTGACGTGCAGTGGGCGCCGTTCAGTGTGCGCGGGACCGACCGCATCGCAACCGCATGCCGGGATGGCGCCGTGCGGATCTTCGAGCTGGGCGTCGCCGAAGCCCCCAACGGGAGGACGGACGCATCCGCCTCGTTAACCACCTCGACTTCGCGGACAACGTCCAACGTCCAACAGCGCCAACACCAACACCAGCAGCAGCAGCAGCAGCAGCAACAACAACAACAACAACAACAATCGAGCCTCACATCCGCCATCACCGGCCGTACCACCCAACCCCACGGCGCGGCGGGCTCGGCGCTCGCGGACTCGGCAGCGGGCACGCCATCGCGCACCGCACGCACCGGCCATGTCTTCCCGTTCGCGACGACCATCCAGTCGTCCACGTCGCTGCCCAACGCGCACTCGGACGCCTGGTCGCTGTCGTGGGACGGCCAGGGTCAGGTGCTGATGAGCAACGGCTCCGACGGCGTCACCAAGCTGTGGCGCAAGAGCGTGCTGGCCGGCCAGTGGCTCGTCTTTGCCGGCCAGGAGGTTCTGGATCCCGCCGACGACGCGGACGCAGAGCATGACGTGGACCAAGGAGACCGCGACAGTGATTTATAGCTTGATTCCCATACCAGGTACTTCTTGTGGGCGGTTTCTAGATTAGGGACAACAGTGGCAGCCAGGCACGGGCACAGGCTTATATATCCATATCCCTATGGACACCCTCTACCTCGGATATCATTGAAAGTCTACTCCGTACTGTACAATCAAATTACAACAATGCATCACTGATCAAGATACACCACTAACCCTCAAAATACGGGCTCGTCACAATCGTGCTATCTCGCCTCAACCGCCGGCGGGTCCGTTTTGCTGGCGGCGTGACCATCTCATCCTCTGAGACTTCTTTGACATGACCGTGTTTGACCTCAGCTGCGGTCGTGGAGCGCTGGTGTCTCGTGCTATTTCTGGTCGTTCGCTGTGACGCCGACTTAACCGTATCTCGAGCATGAGGTCTGCGCGGAGATGGCTTTGCTGGCCGAAACTCGTCTCCATCGTCTTCTTCCAGACCACCAGATAAAGCGGGCCCAGAATCGTCCGACGTGTCAATGCTATCACTGGCAGGAGAACTGGGTACGTTCGATTGAGCCCTCCCCTTCGTTGAGCGCCGGAGACGAGGGCCAGGTATAGATACTTCGACCAATCTGTCTGATGTCGGACCCATGGAGACCCCCATCTCTTCGTCAGATGCATCGTTCATAGCTTCAGACTGTTCATCATCATCGTCGTCGTCGTCGTCGCCGTCGTCTTCGTCGTCTTCAGCATCATCACTGGACACGGATGACAGTTCGGAGCTCTGGCTTTCCTGAGCTGCTCGAAGAAGAGACTGCCGCTGCCGCCGCACTGGCGCTTTCAAGGGTGAAAGTGATGTGGGCGTCGGGTATTCTGCAGCTGCGCGTTGCTTGCCTTTCAACTTGTTCGTCTCTGGCGGCTCCTCTTGGTGAACCATCTCTAGATCTTCAGGCACTGCAGGCTCATCATCAACAATGAAACCGCCGCCGCCAAAGGTGTCGTCATCAGATTCCTGTGGCAGCGCTGCCCCCGGCATGCGGTCGTCGTCGTCGAGACTAATCCGCTGATCCTTGCTCATGCCACGAGTCAGATCAGAGTGGTCGGTCAGAACGTCTCCGTAGGTATCTTGGACTCGCTCGCGGATCCTCAGCCCCATGACGAATTTTCGCCACAGGTCTAGCACTAACTTTTCCATTTTGCCCTCCTCTTTCCTCCGTTGCTCCTCGTTGAACTTGGTCCAGGCCTCAATCACAGCTTTCTCGTTTTCTTTCGCAACGACAACGCCTGTGCAGATGGGGACTGCTCTCTTGTTTCCAAATTCGAACCCAGTCACAGCTTCTGCGTAGTCGATATCCAGCTTCTTGCATATCCGCACAGTCGCTCTGAGGGGGATATGCACTGCACCCTTGGGGACCATGCTAGGCACGAAGCAATCGATATTCCCGTACGCGTTCTTGGGTATGACGCCATTTTCAATAGGAGGAGGAATGATGTACTCGGTCTGATCCCAGGAATAAAGGCCTTGCATCTGCTTTTCTCCCGTCTGCCTTTCATAGTCCTCAGCCTCACGCTTCCTGGTCAGAGTCACCGCTCGGACAGGCACTAGCTTCAGCGGAGTCTCGCCTGCTTTTGGTCTCCGGCCTTCTTTATGCCATGATTCTGCCGTCAAGCACCTTTCTACATCGCTGCGACGGTATACAGGCTCTTCCTTCAGGTTCGGACCCTTACCAGACACAAACATCCTGTCTGGTTTTGCGCCGGGCCTCAATGCTTCTTCGCGCCTCAAGAAACGCTCGAGCACAAAGTCTGCCGAAGCTTTTAGACTCTGAAGAGTGTCCACATCTGACTTGACGTCCTTTTTCTCCGGCAACTGCGGGACAAGATCAGAAGAATCTTCAATATCATCGACAGCCGTGCGCATCAAGTCCGGTCGTACATAAGAGCTCATCACACGTTTAAACCAGTCGTAATCCTCGTATCTTTTGATCTTGCCATGTTTGGTATAAACCGGGATCTTTTCAACGGGAAAGCGAAACCCTTTTGTCTTGCCCGGCCATATCTTCTTCTTCAGATATCGGACAGTAACATCTTTAGCGGTCCCATCAGACGAATACGCAACGACATAAGCTATGACAGTTTTCGTTTTTTCGGCTTTGGCCCCACGAGGCTCAAAAGAAGCCAAGATCTCCGGGGTGGAAGCAACTGGATTTGCAAGAACAAGAGGGGACACCGGAAGGATCCTGTTTGTGATGGGAGACACTGCTTCAGTCCAGTAGATTGGGAAGGGGTTATCGCGATCGTACTTCTGTGGACGTTTTTTGGGCATCGAGGGAGTGATATCCATTAGTGAATCGTCGTCTCGGAGATCCACCCCCTCTTCGTTGTCATTGTCGTCGGCCTCTGTATCAAGGTTAATGGGACCATCTGAACTACCGTCGTTCTTGCGTCTCTTGACCGGTTGCGTTGCTTTTCGCTGCATTGGCTTCTTGGTACTCCGCGACATCGTGATCTCCGAAATAGATTTGGAGTCACCCAAGTCAGATTCTTCAGAAGACGTATCCATCTCAACGGACTGCGAAGGCTTCCGGGCCAGGTACTGCTCCGCTTTTGTCCAGCCAAATCCACAGGGCTGCAGACTTGCTACCATCCTCGACTCGATCCCAAGACCTCTGAGCAAGGCGGTAAAAAGCTGAGCTCCAACGTCCCTTGAACCTTCACATCTCCTTGCCACCTCGCGGAACTCTTTGAGATTCCGGATGCGCTCTCCGTGTTCCTCATCAACATGCTCATCGTTTCTGAAGGAGTATATGATCTGCTTCAACGCCTGTTTGGTTCCATAGCCGCGTTTCCTCAGGCCTGGCGCAGTAATCGCAAACCTCTTTTTCCAGTATGCAGACAAGACGTTCATGAGTGATATCAGGGGGTCACCGTTGCTCATGTCGGCTTTGCCCCTTTCAACGCGTTGACTTGGTCTTCCCCAGTCCCTCTCTTTCCGTGGGTTAATCTCCTTCTGTTTCCCTCGTCTTTTACTCTTTTCCGCTTTCGACTTCGCCTCAGTGTCCAGGTCGACCAGGCCACTGGCCCTCTTCCACTTGTGGACTTCTTTTTTAATCTGCGGTGGCAATTGTTGGACCAAGATCTGCTGGACTGTCTTGTCTGAAATCCACTTGTTCCGAATCACATTATGCCAGAGTAGAAATTGAACATGCATTTTGTGAGCCCGTACCCTCGCCTCTTTCTCTCGCTTCGTTGGACCCGTTTTACCTTTAGTCGCAGCAGCGGATGTGCCGTAGTCAACCACATCGTCGTCTTTTCGGAAGACCAGTTCGATCGGACCGTCAGCTAAAGGTGTACGTGCTGGGTACTCCGAGGGTTTTCCACCAGCGTCTTCCCATTCTATATTATCCTCATCGTCCTCATCGTCATTATCCCCTTGGTCCTGGAGCGGACCGTAAGGTTGTGGAGGTGCGGCCGGCACATCTTCAAACTCGTTGCTGTCCACCTCACTGAGGCTTGAGTCTGAGTCATCGCTACCGACGGAGAAGGTCTTTTTCTTGTCGAGGCCAGGGACGTTTCTAGATTCGGCGTCTAAGACATCTGCAAGTCTCGCCTTTTTGGTCGGAACAGATTGCGGCGAAGCAGGTGGTGTGGAGGAGAGCCTTTTACGGGGGAGGAAGGGTGGCATCGCAACAACCAGGACGAAATACGGCCAGTCGCTCCAGGGCCATGAGAAGTAGAGTCTTGTGTAAGATCATACTCGATGGGAACGTCGAGTCATTGCGATCTCAATATCCAAGCGCAATTCCACTTGGACGCATTAGAAGGCGTGCGTCCTTACAAAGCGCGAGTGGTGACGTCGATTATTGGTCCTTGTAGGCGGCGATGCGCCTATCGACACACCCGAATTTCTGACTCTCGTGGCGGCCGCGGGGGGAATTTTGAATCGTCAAGGTTATCTACTACAGTACCTGCCACCTACCCACAGTATATAGTACGCAACCCTGTTCCGGTGCCTGAAAGTCTTCCTGGCATCCAATATCAACCGACAAGCCCACACAAATAGCGGGAAAGGCCCCCAATTGCAGCAGAGCTTCTCATGGCCGAAGAAGAAGAGTCGCCTACACCTCTACAACAGATCAACACCTATCACTGTCTCTGTACCACCCTTATTCTAACCACCACACATAAACTTGAGTCACTCCCTCGCCGAGCTGAACCGGTCCAAGATGGTGCTTTAATTCTAGCCCCTCCTGTCGACATAACTGCATCTGGGGACGCGGTACGGGAAAATCTCAAGCCTTCCAATTCTATCCTGCTCAATATTGTCTCCGACCGTAGGCCTGTGATTGTTCGACGGGACGATGGCTTTGAGAAGAGAACGCTTTTGAGATGTGGAAGATGCAACCTGGTCGTCGGCTACGGTCTCGATCAGGCACATTTTGAAACTGCAGAGCAGGATTCAGGTCAGCAGAGGCCAATGTATCTACTCCCTGGAGGCATGCTCAGTACAGCCGACATGGCGAGTGGGAAGAGCGCACAACCCCCTCCGTGGGCAGAGAATGGCGGAGGGGAATAGTACAATTAATATGGAACAAAGGGTGACTGATGGTTTCTGTTTATTGCGTCCAAGATATCCCTACAGACTCGCAATTGCAGGATTTTATGCCTACGAGCGTTGAGCAATTGCCTCAGCATTCGCTTTCAGAAGGACCTCTTCACGCCAAATCACTCCGCGCCAACCGAGGATGCATTGCTTCCCAAGCCATAAACCATACGCTCGTAATCAAGACCATATTTGCTAAGTGCCCGAGCACCGGACCTTAGTTTGCAAGAATCGTCCGGACAAGTTCCATGTAGTTGATCTCTCCACTGCTGGTGTCGACAGCCTTCAATAACTCATCAACCTCTTCATCGCTCATCTTCTCACCCAGGTTGGTCAAGATGTATCTCAGTTGGCCCACTCCGATAAACCCGGTCATATCTTTGTCGAATACTTGGAAGCCACGGCAGTATTCTTCTGGTTCGCCAGGGTCTCTGAAACCGCCGGGTCTGTTGAGAACTTTGCTGAAGGCATCAAAGTCGACTAGCCACCCATTAGCTCACGCATGTCTAGATGGAGAGGAATTCAGTAACTCACAGTCACCTCCCACTTGCTTTTCTAGGTCCCTGATTTCTGAGAGTGTTGGATTTTGTCCACAGGCACGGAGGAGGTCGCCAAGGGACTCGAGAGCGACGCGGCCGTTGCCGCGTTTGTCGTACAGGGAGAAGGCTTCCTTGTAGTTGGTAGAAGTCTGCGAGGAGGAATGAGGATTAGCCATTGGGGTAGTTTGGAGGACGAGATCGCCCTTAGAGAACCAAGGCAGCGATGAGTATTGTGGCAAGATATGGCGGGTTGCTCATAGAGACAACGAGGGTGTGTTGGTGCTGGGTTGTAGTGGTTGGAGTTGGTTGTCATTGCGGGCGCACCCTTTTCCTTTGCCTCCTTTGCCTTGGTTCCCGCACACGGGTAGATCATTGGACGAATAGCAAGGAGCAACTCACCATCTTGATTCTGACTGAGCGAGAGTGTAGCACTTTCTATCCCAAATTTCGACGATGCAGGCTCGGCTGAGGTTTGAACACTCGATTGCAGTGAATGGAAAGATGAGGCTCTCCTGAAGCAGATACTAGTAGCGCGTGCACTGACTTGTTGACACTTGGGTCTTAGTCCATCTCCCTGCGCCCCCCGGTCAAGCGGCTTCGGTCACCCAGCAACAAACAGAGAAAGCCTAAAACCCAGTCCGCAGTTCACCGCCCATCAATGACCAGCCTCCGCTCGACTTCCTCCTGCCTTCTTCGCCCCAAGAGAAAAGATGGCATTCGCAACGCCCAAACAGATCCTCAGGATCTTCCGCTGCCTCTTGGGCATAAGCCGAAAGAATATCTCCATCGCGGCGAGGTTGCAAGCTCCAGTGACATTTCGACTTGGTGGTCGATCGAAATGGAGTGATCCCGCTAGACGCAGTCTCCTGATTTCTCTACCATCCTACACATGAAGCCTGCCTCTTTAATATCTTCAGACCTTCGAGATGTCACCCTCTTCGTCCGTTATTATTTACCTCACCCTTCGGATCCTGCGGGCGTGCCTAAATCCACAAGCTATGTGCTCTGGGTTCATCTGGCCGTCGCAACTCTCGTGTCATTGGACAAGTCGAAGCATGAGTAATGGAACAGGAGATTTCTCGGGGTGAAGTAATTGAGTCAAGAGAGCTTGATCGATTTACCGCCTCAGGCACTCCTAGTCTAGGTCACCTCTCCGGCATCAAGTCCGCTTGATAGAGCAGTTGTATGTTGCTTACTCCAACTGAGCCAAAATGGCGAGTTCCATGCTATGACTTCATTTCTATGTCCACAGCCAACGACATTCCAGACCGCGACCTGGATTTCTCGCGTGGAATGAATTCCTAAGCACATTTAGCCGATGGTGTTAGGTCCCTGCTATCAGACTATAGTCCCTCCTGGTCCAGGGCGCTGAGGAAGGTAGGATTTATCTCGGATCACTCCATCCACAGCACTCGCGATGGCATAATTATTTCCCCCACTGCAACTCTGACCAACTGATAAGGATCGCAATGATCCCTTGAATTTTGAAAGCCATCTAGCACTCTTCTCTACAGTGATCTCCCCGCGTGTTTCACAACTCACTATATCAAAAGGGTTCAAATGTATTCAGAAAGCAAAGGGGTCAGACCGGTACTCAGAAGAGCTCAGTCGTCCTCTGGCTCATCCATGGGATCCACAAGCGCCTGCTCCGAGATGCATGTAAAGATCACCAGACAGATGCGGGCACAGCAAGACCGTTGGGTAGCCTGGCAGACCAAACAGATCCAAGCTTTTCAAGAGGCGGCTTCTGAAACTACTGGCACCGGCTCTTTACACTGCCGCATCACTTCGAAGCGACCGCATATATCCTTTGACAGGATTTCATCAACATTACGCAAAATCCGAGGATGAGTGAATTGCGGCCGGCTTTGAAGGTCTTGACATCCAATCTGCCATATTCATGACGCCGAAACGGGCATTTCGGCACGAATACCGCTCTCAGTCGTGGAAAACGCCTACGGCACTAAATATCAAGATAATTCATGCTTGTTAGTGGGAGGATCTAGATTTCTAGAGTGAGGATCTAGATATCTAGCAAGCCGTGAAGATGTCGGACCCGTGTGGCGGAACGACTCCTACGACTGGCCTTTCCGGCTTTACCTACTATGTTCTCATCATCTGCAAGACGCCATTTGCCCGTGGTCAGCACTTTGGGGATGAGGCACAAGGGAGATGCACAACAACCAAACTGCTCAAAAAAGCCGCTTTCTTGGGAACCTTTGAAGGCTCCCAACCGGTCTGGAGATCTTGAGTTGTTGGTACCTCTGAGCTGGCGTTATTGCTGTGTCGACAACGCGGATCCAGATGATGCTCAGAGGGCAACTGCTCTCCAAGAAGAGCACGCCACATGACGAGCAGCTCGATAGTTTCGTGACTACCTGGACCTGGTTTCTGTATAGTCGCACATCCTGGAAGAGAACGCTGGTGCACAAGCGCAGTCCAATCTCGCTCCAACAAATGATACTGATTACCGAGCTTACTCCATTCACACTCTTGTACTCGAGGTAGTCTAAGAATTAGCAACAAAAGTCCCGGGATTGAGTGAAAAGAGACCAGACTGGACAGTTACATCCTTTTCCCTGGTCATCCCACTAGAGGTCGAACAGCCTACGTTTATTGCCGCACCAGGTTAACATGTTTGATGGTACACACATGATGGATGAACAAAAGTCAAGGATACTGTATCCCTGTAGATCGATTCGCCATGACAACTGAGCAGCGATCCAAGGGCTGCCTCCTTGACGCCTATACTACTTTACTTGACGACGTCTCATTAAGAGGGAGGCACCAAGGAGGCTACATGGTCGTGGTATCTATTCCACCAGACGATGGGCTGTGGATCATGTCGTACAAGTGGAAGGGCACAAGCAATCGCCTAGAAGTGCTTGATCGGGCTTGGTTGAAGCTGCCCCCTTTTTTCCTCTCAAAGACGCGACCATAGTCGCAGATAGTCTCGCCACTTCGCCACTTCGCCGATGTTCCGATGGACCTAATAGGCCTCGCAAAGACCCCGGGAACCATGGGCATGTGTCGAGTGTCTTGTGCAGGCCATGTCCACGGAAAAGAGCGGACGGTTGGGGTGTCTGCCCACTGTTCAGTCCCTAGCCAATGCACTCCAGGATGCTGGACTAGTCTACCTATGGAGTACGACCCCGTAAGCCGTACGGGAGGTGGCACCGCCCGACATATCGATTCGAGTCTCCAGGCTCTTATCTCAATCTTCGCTCCTAGGGTGGAGACGTACGTTATGACCACCTCGATCCGCATTGGTGTGGAAACTGGACGGTGTAGCATTTGTTTCATTCCTGTGTACGGAGTACAGATACGGTCTATGTTTATCTGTTATCGACCCGCATGAGTCGCAGCGGAAGAAGGAGTCAGCAGCATCGAAGGACGTCTCGAGCTCAAGCTTTCCTTTCGTTGCTCGCGGCCACGATTGGCTAAGAATCGCACTACAGATTCTTCGTCTCTGGTATCATCCATACGGATGGTAGACCCAGTTGCCGTGTAAAGTCGAGCAATCAGGGCCGATGGAAGCAAGCTTCAAAAGAGCATGATAAGCTCACGGCAATCAACAAAACAGGTGTCAACGGGTCAATCTCAGTTGCCAGGTTCTTCATTGTGACTACGATCTCCGCGTTTTCGCACTTGAACAGGTATAGCGGGTGATTCAGCAAGCTTTCCACAAGCTGCTCGCCCATGATAACGACGGGCCTAATTATGCCAGGCACCGTCTGATCCCGCGGTTGGGCTACAAGACAACACAGTACGGAGTACGAGTATATCGTGCTGGTGCAGATGTCCGAGATCAGAGGCCGAAGCCAGTCGGGAAACTCGTCATGATAGAGATAGCATAGGGATATATGGCGGTAGGCGGCTCTACCAAAAAGTGAGTCTCTCTTACTCTTCTCACAATCTCTACACAGCATGGCTTCGTCCGTCGAGAAGGTGCCGTCGCAGACGGACTTCAAAGTGTCTTCAACCCCCTCTGAGGCTCCCTCTTTCCAGAACGGAGCTACCCACGACGTTAACGTCGGCATTATCCTCACCCACGATGAATACCACTTGGCCACGCTGGGCTACAAGCAAGAGTTTATCCGGTGCCTGGGCTTATTTGAGTCTTGGGCCGCCACCTTTACTAGTATGAATTTCATCTCAGGTATCCCCGTGCTCTTCGGCTGGGTTATGTACACTGGAGGACCGGAAGCCGCCTTTTCCATCTGGACTTTAGTCGGCGGGCTTTCGTGCTGTGTTAGCTTGGTGATGGCTGAGCTGGGCGCCGCTCTTCCAACGACAGGAGGTATTTATTTCTGGAGCTACCGCCTGGGAGGAGAAAAGTATGGTCCTTTTCTCAGCTGGATGACCGCCTGGTGGAACTGGGCCGGGTGAGCACATTATTCACTCTCCAGCAGCAAACAAAGTAATGACTGTCTCAACAGGTGGGTCACAGTTGTTCCTGGGGTACAGCAGGGCGCCACGAATTTTTTAGTCTCAGCGCTCATGATCAAATACCCGGACGCCGAAGTGCTGAGCAAAGGCTGGTTCCTATGGCTGCTCACCAGCATCGGCATGATCTTCGCCATGATTCCGAATGTCTACAGCACCAAACTGCTGCAATACTATTTCCGCTTTGCCGTGGGCATTTTCTTCTCCCTCTTCTTCATGTATTGGATCTGGTTCCCGATCAAGGCTTCTGAGAAACATTTCAACACGAGTTCCGGCGTGTTCAACCTCTTCTATAACGGGATCAATCTTGGGGCGGAGAAAGAGGCCTCGGACGCGTACTGCTGGTAGGTAGTGACTCAAGTCGAAGAAGAACCAGTTTGGGCTAACAGGGTCTGCCAGGGTTATCTCGGCCCTGTTTGGAGCTTGGGTGTTCTATGGCTACGATGCGTCTGCTCATCTCAGTGAAGAGACAATGCAAGCCTCGACAGTGGTGGCCAAGGGCATGTATCTATCGACGTTTTCCGCCTGGCTTCTTTCGGTCCCGACGCTGATACTCATCCTGTTCTGTATGCAAGATTTTGAGGGCATCATCTCCGCAACGTACGCCAACAACTGGGCCGAGTATTTGGTTCAACTGGTGGGCGAAAACGGCGCTGTGGCGATCCTGGCTCTACTTTGGGTCGACTCGACGTGCGCCACGGCCAGCTGCTTCATGTCTGCCCAGCGCGTGACCTACGCCATCTCGCGAGACCACGTTCTTCCCTTTAGCTCCTTTTTCAGGAAGCTCTCGAAGAGGAAGATGGCCGTCAACGCGGCGCTGTTGGTCTGCGCCATTTCGATTGCCGTGACCACTGCGGTCATAGGTTCGGCCGTGGCTTTCTCTGCCATCACGGCCACTGCAACAATCGCCACGAATGTCTCATACCTATTTCCCATCGTTGCGAGGCAGACAGTTGGCCGTAAATCATTCGTGCCGGGGAAATGGCACCTGGGCAGATTCTCCGCCCCCCTGGCTCTGATAGCCACATTGTGGATCTCGTTTCTGTTCGTCGTGTTGACACTGCCGCAACTGTATCCTGTCGATGCGCAGACACTCAACTATGCACCAATTTGCATTGGCATCATCTCCATCGTCAGCCTGGTAGGATGGTTCTTCCCGAAATGGGGTGGGCGGCATTGGTTCGAGGGCCCAATCAAGACACTCAGCGAAGCCGACTTCAGGAATGTCCGGGTTGAAGGGGGAGTGGCGACCGTCGAGGAAGGAGATGCCATGGCGAACCTGAGGTTTGGACATCGGAAGAGTGTGAATGAGTGAAGTACGAGTGTTTTGAAGAAGAATGGGAGGGCCGCGTAGTTGATATATCTCACATTAGGTATTGTCTTTTTGGTCGTTCCTGTCTGTGGCTTTCAGAAGCCTGTCAGGTTTCCATCGCCCCAGTGAGGTTCGTTGCGAGGAGAGCTCAATATGTTGATAATGCCACCCCTAGCCCAACCCGAATTCTACAACTTCTGCCTTACAATCTCCCGTCCCGCTGCGCGCAGTGCATTTTCACCGTCGACAAGCACACACCACCCCTCTCCGCCCACCGTGCCATCTTCGAAGCCACCCACTGCGGACTCAAAGTTGTCCTTGGCAAACTTGAGTTCTTCGTCCCCAAAGGTCCCCGGCTGTAGGAAGACGGCCGTGATTCCCACGGCTTTGGCGTCCTTCAGCACTTGCCTAGTGACCGCGGGCGGCGTGACCAAAGACAGTCCCGTCTCGGTCGGGTGAGGCAGCGCCGAGACCGAAGGAATCGTGTCGTAGGTCTTGGAGGGCACCGAGATTGAGGGGCGGCCAGGGTTGATTGGCGTCACCGGAAGTGAGTGGACGTGATACCATGCAAAAACTAGCCCGGAGGAATTCAGGTCAATCTTGCCCTGTGGCCACGACAGGTGGTTGGCGGAGGAAGAAGGAGGCGAGATGCGAGATACCTACTTTTATATCCGAACTTGCTTTGGTCTTGAGACGCGCCAATGACCGCAAAGTACGGGAGAGAGAAAAAGCGTTTGGCCGCGGATTCCATGATGGATTATGGATATTGGATTTGTATTGGCCGGCAGCCTGTAGATGTTGGACCTCTGCTCGATTTCAGGACAAGGAATGATGGTGTCGTCAAAAAGCAATATCGTCATCTCTCATAGTGAAGAGGACCTAAGGGGCCCAGGTGGTGACCATGCGAGCACGTCAGAATCAAAGCCATTGACGCAGTTTGTTCCTCCGTAGAAAGCTGCCTGCTTGAGCCACTTGTGGCTGGGCAAGGCAGACTCTGGTCACGTGATGGTGCCCTGACAGGGTCACATGACAAGCACCTCGTTCTCACTCCTGACGGTTTGAGCCGCGCAGCTGGATATCTCAGTCTCACTACAGAATACCAGTAACTACATGGTTCATTTGCGTGTGACTCTGCTCTATTCTTGTCCGCTTAAGTATCAAACAATGGGAAGCCCCTCGTTCGAAGCTCCTGTGGCTGATGCCTTTAGGCTAGCCTGTGGCTGAAGTGGCTGAAGTGGCTGTGCCATCGGTGTCAGCCTCAGGCCGCCAACTAAGGGAGAAACAGCCAACCGAATCCACGAGCTTAGAGTCATCGTGCATTGAATCGTGCTCCCCAGACCAGGATCCTCTACGAGAGCTGTCTGACGGCGGGACTGTGCCCCTGGGAATTGGACCGTTTACCAAGTGAACCGCCTGTCAGACCCGGCGCTTTTTGTGAGGTGTCTCGCATTGAACAGCTGTGCGCCATGCTCACCAGCTTATCAACAATGGCGGGCTCCCTCCATAACTGCAGCTGTTGCTGCTCCAGACCTCAGCAGCTCATTTGTGGTGATCACTCCATCATATCGCTGCCTCTGCCTCTGAGACGCGAGCCCCTACCTCACTTGAAGCAGACCGTGAGTCGAGTCTGGGAGCAGAATGACTTCTCTGGCTCTTCGCACCAGGGATCAGCCCGATATCCGGGCTAAGATCAGCATTCACGACGAGTCCCCCAGTGACATAAGACAACGGCTACAGATCGCAAATCAAACCCAGAGAGCTCTGCGTTCACAACAATTATGGCACCCTCCCGAACCAAATGATTCGGCACTCCGCCTTGTCCCCCGCAAACCTCGAAACGTGCCTTATCCTTATCGTGCTGGTCAGAGCAACGACAATCCCACGTCCGACCCACAGTGTCAATGGGACAGGTCCAACAGTCTGAATTCGCTGTCAACCCTGCACCGTGAAGCTGAAGCTGGAGCGCTCAGCCTGTACAGAGGCTCCCCGATTTCTGCAATCAGCCCTCCACCTGTCGCCCCGACCGTGACCGATTGTCAGCTTCAAGACCCTTGCCCCCCTCGACCACAGTTGAGAATAGAGACATTCAGTGAACAACGGAAGTATCAAAAGGCTCTGAAGAGGTCACTTAAAAAACAGCAGAAGGAAGAGCTCAGACGACAGAAAGACGAGGAGAAATCGCGGCGGGCGGCATGGGCTGCCGAAGTTACGGCTGCGCGGAAGAAGGATGCTGCTGCTCGAGGAGAGACTCTACCACTGCGTAGCAGGACTACCAGGGCTATTGCATCTCAGGTAGTGAAGAATCTGAGCCTGAGAAGGCCTCTCAGCAAACTCAGCCGTCGCGCAAGGTCAGAAAAGGCTGACCCGCCGACTTTGGATGATTTCGACAGCAAGGAAGAGATCCGTGACTATCTCAACTGGTGTCCCGCTACCCCGTCTACGGCCCTGTCTACGGCCCTGTCTCCGGCCGCGTCTACGGCCCCGTCTGCGCGCCTGTCTGCGGATATCGCTGAGCTTCCTGCCGAGCTCCCTCAGTATACACCATTCCAAAATTCCACCCGAACTCAACATAATGAGCCTGTCACCCGCTTGAATGATGTCCTCCCAGCCAAGGAGAAAGAGAGCGGCATGCCCTCAAATCAACCCGAAGTCAGACAGAACAAATCCCAAACTTCTCCCAGATCCATGAGGTGTGATTCGTGCCAGAGTCCAATACGGCTGCATCAAGTGTATTATCACTGCTCGATATGTGAGGACGGCGATCGTATTCTATGCTCGTCATGTGATCAGGCTGGATGGAGCTGTCGGCATGAGATCACAGAAAAGATACGGAATGTGTCTCGTGTCGTCTCGCCCGAAGATCATGACCTTGCCACTCTGAACAGAGGACGAAGTCGGTCAGAAGCCCAGCAATATGCCGCTGCAACGGCAGGATTGGCCATGGCGGACTTTTCGAAAGTTCATAGTCGTCGGACCGAGAGGCCACTTCAGGCGTCGAAAACGATAGTCAACCCGGGTGCTTGTCCTGAGATCTCAGCCCTGAAGAAGTCGAGACATGCCTCGGTGGAGACCGATGCATCTACTAGGACAGATCACGCCAAGGACAATGAACTTTGGCGACGTGAGCGTGACATGATTTTACGTGAAAAGGAGATAGCCTTACGGGAGAGGGAGACTGCCATAAGAGAGCAACAAGCCTCACTGAGGGAACAGGAAGCCGTCTTGGCCATCAAACAACAGCTGTGCACTCTCCAGTCACAGGCAGCCATGGTGCAGCGAGTGGATGAGGCGTCAACTGGGATTGGCTCGCAGTTTCAAGATCTACCTTCTGTAAGTCTGCAATGCACCCCCTCATACCTACCTGGATTGCTGTTTCTATTTCTACTGAAACTATGGGGCTAACGCTGGCGGCCAGGATGACCACGTCAAAAATCATGGCACCAAGCGCAAAGCAGGTGGAGATCGAGCTTCAATGCCCCTTGCATCCAACTCCGTGTCCTCGAACCCGCAGACTCCCCTGAAGCGTTCTCCCGGTGGAGGAGGCCGAGAGCCGGATGACGAAGACGATGAAGAATCTGCAGGTACACCCAAAAAGATCAAACAGACCTTGGATCCCCTCCGTACTACGGAAAAGTTGTTCGCTTGCCCATTTGCGAAGTACCACAAGTCCAGATACTCTGAACAAAACCGTCATGAGAAGCAGTACCGCGGGTGCTCAAGTGGATACTGGCCAGATATCTCTCGTCTTAAGCAGCACCTTTACCGTGTCCATTGGCGGAAAATTTATTGCGTCCGCTGCTACACCAAGTTCGATAATCAGGATCTGTTACAGGCGCATCTACGTACCGAGTCGTGCCTTGTGGTAGATTGTCCGTATCCAGAAAAGTTTGACGAGGCACAATATAACGAGATTCGACGGAAGCGGCCGGCAAACACCCCGGAGCAAGTTTGGTATACCATTTACGGCATCCTCTTTCCTAATCAACCGCAGCCAGAGAGCCCCTATGCTGACAACGTCGACACATCGCCACAGTCAGCGCTCAGTCCTGCTGCAGCGGAGTGTCAAGATGCCATGGAAGCCTTGGGCGAACGCTTCGAATCTCGGCTAGATCAGTATCTTGCAGCTCCGGGGCAAGACTGGCTACGTTCTATGGAGACGCGCGAGTTTATCCGTCAACAACTGAGAGTATCTATGACAGAGGTACTTGGAAGACTCAATCCCGCCGGCAGCTTTGTTACTGCAAACCCTTCTGCTGAGGCCTCGCCACATTCAGCTTTCCCTCCCGACTCGGCACGCCGAAACTCGATTTCGCTAACGCCCGTCTCGTCGATCCCTGCGACACCCTTGAATGGGAACCAGCAACGAGTAACAGAGTCAAATTCACATTTCCTGCTTCCAGGGCATCACCAATATTTTAGTCGGCCACTTCCGGCTAGACCGAGACAAGATGGTTTCTCAGTCGAACAAGCTCTCGCAGTTGAACGGGTGCATCAACCACCTAGCCAAAGTTTCGCAGTAGGCGAGAGTATGACTGGCGTCACCGTTCCAGCGTTATCGAACATTGACACTCAAATCGATACCTATGATGACGAGTGTAACAGCTGGAGCCACGGGGATGAACTTGATCACACAATCTTCACTGATTTCAACTTCGGGTTTGATACAAGCACAAGCTTACCCTCAGCAATTGATGAAGTGATGCCGTTGCCGTTGCAACCCTCAACGGTACAACCTCCCGCGCTGGCCAATGGATTTACTCCGGTCAAGCTTTCCAGTGTGGTTGATATGCCTAGTACACCGGGCGCCACCGCCACCTCCCAACTAAAGCCAAATCACTCCGCAACTTCATCGATAGACTCTGGATATGGCAGCTTAGGAGATGGTTCCGTACCCGCCTCTTCTAGCAATTTCTCTGGGGCGCCCAAAACCAAAGGGATAAGGCCAAAACGGGAGAACGTGAAAGGAACAGAGGGACAAACACGAAAAGAACCTAGCCCTGTCCCGGAGGAGGACATCAACTTTGATGCTTTGGACATTTCTTTACAGGAGTTTTTGGGCGGGACGGAGATGGACGAGTTTGCAGACTTGACTGGCGAGAGTCTTTCAAAATATCTGGACACGAAGTATCCAGCTGCTTCGGGGACAGATCAGATACTGTGATAGATAGAGTATGACCGAAAGAACCATCTCCAGAGTCTTGACTCGTGGCACTGTCGACTTCCTGTGTCTGACGTGCGCCTTGATTCATAGAGCCACGACAGTAGTAAATAGGTGCCAAGACGGAGGGGAACCGGATACTACTTTTCCAGGGGCAGCATCCAATACCAAATCGACGAGGTCCAGGTATCAATCCGTGGCGGCTCGCACCCCCCCAGGTTGGGTTCTAGGATCATCATGGCGGACCACACACGAGGCTCGTGGGCTTGAGCTTTCGCTACTGTGCAGTGTGTACTCCGTGCTCCGTAATGTTCCACTCCTCCTTGACCCTCGACTTCGCACTTCCTTCGGCGTCGCGTCAGCGTCATGATCCACTGAGCTGGTGCGGGTGGAAATCTACTCTGTACATGGAACGGACTGACATCATAGTGATTTACATCATCATCGCCATCGCAATCATGCATCGGTACAAAATCCCATGGAAAGCGATCTCGACCTACTCCTACCTAGGTAGGTAGTCTTCCTCGCAGTGCCTCTTCCTCGTTCCTCGATCCCTTCATCCTCTCCCGCACACATGGCCGAATCAGAATCAGAGTCAGGGTCAGTGATCCAGCTAAAATGCAGTTGCAACGAGTATCCCTGGGGCAAGATAGGGAGACAATCGCTAGCTGCCCGGCTCTGCGAGAAGACGAACCCCGAGTTCCAGGTAGACGAGAGCAAACCGTACGCGGAAATGTGGATGGGCACATACCCTGAACTGCCGTCGTACTCGTTGAAGACAGGCGAGGATCTGCAAGAGATCCTCAACAAGAACAAGGACAAGCTGATTGGGAAGACCGTGGTCGACAAGTTTGGAGCCAACCTACCGTTTCTTCCCAAGATCCTCTCCATCGCGAAGGCGCTGCCGTTGCAGATTCATCCGAATAGAGAGTTGTCGGAGAAGTTACACAAGGAGGATCCAGAAAAGTATACAGACCCCAACCACAAGCCGGAGATAGCGGTCGCGCTTGGGAAGTTTGAGGCTTTCATCGGATATAAGCCTCTGAAAGACATTGAAGAGTTAACCAAGTTGGACTGCCTCGAACAATTTGTGCCCCGGTCCGGGTCCGGCAGCCAACAGTTCGACAATGAGACACTTCGCGAAGTTTGTCGAAGCATGCTCAAGGCGCCCGAGGACACCGTCGCTGCTGCGGTCAAAGGGCTTCTGTCGACACCTGTAGAGCGATATGGGAAGCAGGCATACATTCTAGATCTAACTCGCCGGTTAGAGGAGCAATACGGACGGCATGACAACGGCAACCTCGTGGCTTTGGTGTGCATGAACTACATGGTCTTGGAAGCCGGATCGGTGGTGTACATCCCCGCGGATGGCATTCACGCCTATCTCTCCGGCGACATTGTCGAGTGTATGGCTCGCTCGAACAATGTCATCAATACCGGCTTCTGTCCCAAGCCGGACCGGGACTCGGTGGATCTGTTTACAGATGCTCTGACCTTCAAGCAACATGATCCTTCCGAACCCATGCTAAAGAGGGAAGCAACTGACAAGAGCGGCAACGGCAAGACCATCGAGTTCAGACCCCCCATGAGCGAGTTCAATATTCTGGTGACGGAGCTGTCCCCGGGAGAGACAGAAACCGTAAAGCCAATCTTGGGCCCGAGCATCATGGTCGCCACGACTGGATACGGCAACTTGACAGCGGAAGGGCGAGAGTATCCACTTGGGGAAGGCTACATTTATTTCATCGGGCAGGGGGTTCCCGTCGAGATCAATGCTAGAGACAAACTGGCTGTCTACCGGGCATATGCTGAATGAGCCGGTTTACTGGACAGTCAATACCGAGAGTTGAGTGGGATTGACAGGTCCCATAAAGGATATAGATGATATAAAACTGTCTTTACTTAGTAATATCGTTCATCACAGTCCTCTTATTCCCGGCTGCAGTCGATGTTGTGATCTAGCCTTATACACTCTTGTACATCATGTCAGCGTCGACTTCAGGCATCCAAGCCGCACACGCTTTAATGGCAGTAGCAGTGGCAGTGGCAGCGGCAGCGGCAGCGGCAGCGTACAAAATCAAAGCGCCGCGGCGCGTGCTTTAAGACCACCAGATCCTCCCTCCCGGCCCTATCGCCGCGAGATACGCGTACGGATACAGCACCCTCAATGTCAGCGCTCGGACTTCGATCTCTTCTCCCTTTTCCTGCGGCGTTTTGTGGGGAGTGGAAATCGCCGAGGAAGCTCTTTGCCTTGCCACGTCCGTCCATCGATGGTCACAATACTGCGAGCACGTCCGACCACCAAGGCCATACTTTACTGTGTATATGAAAGAACTCTTTTGAGAGCCAGAGACATATTCATAATCAAGACGATTTCTACGACGTCGAGGGCCACACAGTCTGTGATCCTCACCTCACGCCCTCAACCTCACGATTTGATGCCAGCGCGTACGGCACATCCAAGTGGGCCGTCCTCAAATTGAGCGAGTTCATGCTCGTCGAACACGCTGCCGACGGTCTTCTGGCGTACTCGGTGCACCCTGGCGGCATCATGACTCGACTAGCAGAGGCCATGCACCAAGACACACATTCCGGTAAGAGCAAAAGCAGGATCCGCTGCCTGTTTCCACGGCTAGTGTGGTGTTGAGCAGACCTTTTGGCGTTCTGGACAGCCTTGACCGACAACCCGGCATTGACGGGAGACACGATAGCCTTCTTGACGCACGAACGTAGGCCCTGGCTGGCTGGCCGCTACCTCAGCTGCACCCGGGACATGGAAGAGCTTCTGGCCCGCGAAGACGAGATCTCAGGATCCGAGAAGCTCAAGGTGAGACTGGTGCTATGATGGCCTGGAATCTGGAATCTTTACAACCCAGGTCCGCCGGTTCTCTGGCAGTGCTCCGGATGCACAGCATGGTTTGAGGTATTCTGCTAATGCACATGAGCGACTTCACTCTGTTCTTTGCATGCGTCGAGCCTCCTCTCCGTCTCAGGTCTAGCTGCATGATGGTTTTTCATTCGGCGAGCCGAGTTGTGAGAGCACCCACGCCGGTCCTTGGGCCTTCCATTGCTCCAGTTGCTGCTCATCCCGCAGCCAGACCGAACCCATCATGCCGGCACTATTTGCTGTCGTCCCACCAACGTTCTCTTTCGATCGTGGTATCGTTACAATCCACTTCTCTGTGAGCACAACATTGTGCGGGCACTCTGCTTGCTCGTCCGGGATGGTCAACGCACGCCTGCAATCCCCGAGGAGTCGCAGATACACATCAAACAACTCGGGTCCAGAAACTACATGATTATCAAACCGATGAATGAAATGCACGAACGGGATCGAGTGCGGCGGCAGAGGAGGGTCATAGTCCGGGAACAACCTCCAGCCGCAGGCACTGGGCTGAAGTGCATCAGGATGTGGAATCGCCTGCATGTGCTTGTGGCTCCTGCTGGCTCCTGCAGCCAATCCGCAATTGAAAATGACATAGAAGCGGCCGTCCGTCTCGGTGAGGAGTTTCCACGCTGCTTCCAGATCGGCCTGAGACAGAGGCTCAGGTTGCCGTTGATACGAATCCACGGTCAGGAGCAGAAGATGCGGTCGAAAGACACTGAACTTGTTGACCACGAGGAGGTGTGTGTCGTGGATGGTGGTGATCAAGAGATCGGGATGGACATTGGCAATGTCGCTGCCAGGGCCAAAGGTTTCCGGGCGCGAGACTGCATTATGAGTCGGAGCCTGTTTAGGGGAAGCAAGAGCCTGTCCTGCAGCGGGTTTGCCGGTGAGGGACTCCGTGATTTCATATTTGAACTGGTTTGTCGCGCAGCGTCAGCAAAAGGGGAACGAAATCTCTCCAGTGTGAGCAACACGCACTTTGACACCGTTATCTTCGACCTCGGTTTCTCGGGAGACCTGGTGACTCACCACGCCACTGGCGACGAGGCTATCGAATCGAGATAGCAAACCGTCATAGTCAAGCTCCCGAGACATGGGTTCTCAATCCAGGCGCGGAGTCCAGGCTGTCTTCCAGCGTATCAAGATTGCAGGATAGGTGACGTTTCTTATCACTGGTATTATTGTGGCTTTTGAGGAAAGACAATGCTGGAGCTCCCCCTGATCACTGCTGGTGTCTTTGGGCCGCTGCTCCGCCCCTTCTTCTGGGGGCCAGAACTCCTCATTCGTTGGACTCTGGGAGGATTAGGAGGCCTAAGCCTTAGCCTCAGGCGACCATCACCGTTGCACGCGCCGTTCCGTTCTGCAAAAGCCGGTTTACAAACTGTACGGAGTATGGGGCACTATTCCTGGAACGCTCTAGGTTTCACAATCTCAGCCTCAGCTTGAGGAGTTGCACCAGCGCGGGCTCCAAGCACATGGAAACACATCCGTATATGGATATATGCTCCCGATACACTGTCTAGTTGGCTATTGCATACCAACCTTCCAAAGCACGTCTCTCGCTGACTGCCTCTCGACAAACAAACCTGAAGAAAGTTGTATGCGGTCGTACAGTGCACAAGATGCCTGGAGAGATTGAAAAGCTACACAGGGCAGAGACAGGCGAGGCAGGCTTTGGCTTTTCTCGCCTGGAAGCCACGCTGGGCACCAACACAGAGGTGGTGCCCAGACCCAATTCGAGGGAGACGAACGCTGTCTACCGACACACCAACGCGGATGATCTACAAATGTCCAACGAACTGAACTTTGACTACGCGCTGGACGCGGGCGACTATCCGCTCGACAACCTCCAGTCTCTCCAGCAAGTGTTTGATGCTGTGCAGTTTCATACGCACTTGGGAAAATACGAGAACTTCTCCGCCCAGACGGAGATTGAATGCCTAGAAGTCACGCACGCCGGGGCAGGTATGTGGCTCAGGCCGATGCCAACGTCTTCTCGTGTTGCGGTTGTGCTAGGGCTATGGCTAACCTGCTAGAAGAATGGAGAACGCTTGATGATTATGGACTGAAGGATGTCATACAGGTCAGTCCCGGTTGACTCGGGGGGTGAACCCTTATCCTCCTATCACCCCTTTGCTTGGTCTGAACTGGCACTATAGGGGTCGAGCGCGGGCGCACCTCTGCATCATCCAAATGAAAATGGCCAGGAGGTGCCCTTGCCACCACCCAGCGCTGACATCGACAATATCCCGAAAGGTCGCCTCCTCCTCTTGTGAGTCTTTTTTGGGGAGTCTTCCGAACGTAGCACTGGCACTGATGAACAAGTGCAGCCTCGTGCCGCTGATGCCCGCCAAAGACACATCCTTCGGCAGCCGCATCCAGATGTCTCAATGCAGCGCACAACACCTATATCAGACCATGAAGGTACATCCTATCTTCTTGCTGAACATGCTCGGCCGGCCAGATTATTGGGCGCCAGTGCACCACTGGGACACGGGCCAGGGCGACAAGATACAAGCGTTTGGTAAGTACATAGTATGATAGCCATGACGTGACGAGAAGAACAGACTGTCGTTCATCTTGAATTGTCGCGGGCATGAGCAGGACACTGATGATGTGATGTGATGTTTTGCATCCTAGACTTCTCCTGCCAGCATCCACGCTGGAACCTGCAGGTCCAAGGGGCACCGCTGTCGGTGTACATGCGGCACGACGTTTCCAAACGCGAGACCATCTACCTCATCTCGCACAAGCGACAGGATAGCAGCATCTACGCCTTGAAAAACGTGCTCGAAATTGCGCTGCGCACCAGCTCCAAGCCAGCGCGACCGGGCATCTTCCTGGACGACCCGTTCGACATGCACGTCATCTTGTCGACGCTGTCGCTCGAGGCATCCAAACATCACGTCCAGCGCTTCCGACGCTTCATGTGGACGCAGATCAACAAGGTCGACGACCAACTGGCCAGCCTGCAGAACCGCGACCGGACGCAGCTGTCGGAACTGACCAAGCAACTGCAGGTGATCAGCCAGAACGCCGACTCGCACATTGCCAACGCCGACGTGTGCATCATCACGGCCACGGGGATCCGGGACGCCCACGCGCGCATCTTCGACGCTCCGGTCGAGCCGTTCCGGCACCAGCAGGTGCGGGACTCGATCGACTACGTGATCGACTCGATGCAGAAGCAGAAGATGTGGTTCCTCAACTACAAGAACCGCAAGGACAGCACCATGAGCCTGGTGTACAACCTGGTGACGCAGCAGGACGCGGCCAACAACATCGGTCTCGCGGCCGACATGAAGCGTGACAGTACCAGCATGAGCGCCATCGCCTCCTTGACCATGGTCTTTCTTCCTGGTACCTTCACCGCCGCCATCCTCGACGGTGGGATCTTCTCCTCGCCGGGCGGCTCTCACGTCACCGTCAATGGCATCTGGTGGTTCTGGCTGCTCCTCACTTTGGTGCTGACTTTGATCACCATGGGGAGCTGGTGGCTGTACAGACGGAAAAAAGACGCCGAGAGCCTGAACCCGATCCTGCTGGCAGACACGAACGCGAAAACGAGGACCGGCTCGACCAGACCGAATCTCAAAAGCTTCTCGAGCGGCGGGAGTTTCTCGTGGCCTAATCGGTATAGCCTAGGGAGAATAGGAAGCCAGGGAGAAGGAGGGAAAACGGATTGATTCGTTACCAACCACTTCCCTTTTGCCTTCCTTGCTAGAATGACCTACGACACCAAACTGACTTAACACCTACGACACCAAACGCGAGAGAAACAGTGAGCAATAGATGCCACGGATGGACAGTATAGGATCTGTGCGGGATATACACTACACGGACAGAACACGACAACCAACTCGACCAAGATTGAAGCAGGTCGGACCTGTGTAAATAAATATTGTAACTAGATTGATCGCCTACCTGACAAGTAGGTAGGTAGATAGGTAGGTACGATCTGATATGACCTATCGTTGATAAAAGCCGCTGCGTGGGCCTTCAGTACCACGATCAATTGAATTGAATTGAATTGAATCAAACTGACCTGCTACAAGAACAGCCTTCGCGAAGACTGACGACCTAAATATACAATATGTCCTCCTTACCAACTGGGTTGATACCTCTGAGGCAGGCGCCCTTGATACTGTATTAACTCTGAGGGCGGCCCCCCCCCGGGCGTCATCGTCGCAGCCTTATGGCCCCGCGGCCCCCGAACGAGCCGCCGATACAGAGACTTAAGTCCTTAAGACTTGATTCCTTACCTAATTCACGCCTAACTTAAAGCCCTAAGGCACCCTCTGCGCCCCCGCACACCCCTGAAGCCCCCGAACCACCCGCCGATATAGACATGGTCCTTAGTGTACAGTACTCCGTGCTCGTGCTCCGTAGCTAGGTGCGTACCTACCTCCTCTACGCGATTTCGTCTACGGATCCAGTTCCGGTGCCAGGTCCAGGGATGAGGATGCCGGTAGTTTGCCATTTACCTACTGCACCCTCCACCGACACTGACAGACACCTCTAGCATCCGACAAGTCACTCAATAATGGAAAAGGAAGACGAAACGCATGCGAGCTGATCTTTGATCTTTGGTTAATATGCTTGATCGCATCGATACGCCTCTCCTCTCTCTCCTCCTTCCTCCCTCCTTCCTTCCCTCTCCCTCGCCCTCCCTCTAGAGTTCTACGACGCGCCAACCCCAAAAGAAAACAGAAAAAACAGAAAACCCGCAAGAGCCGCTTGATCAGACATCGCTTATAACTCGATGTATGACAGCTGACGACCTCACTTGACCAAAGTACAATGACAGAAGACCAACTCACAAGTTCAATCAACGTGCAGCAAGATTTCAGTATCAGTCATGCCTTCAGGTCAACAACCATGGCTTAGATTCATCAGCCCTTCGACACCTCTACCACGGTGCCAGTGGCTTCAATCTCCTTTGCGGCACCCAGATCTAAAGCCCCGATAATGCCCTCCCTCTCCTGCGGGGCGACACCCATGATGGTCTGCAACGTGGGCACATCGCTGTGAAGCTGGCCGTCGAGGTTCTCGTCGATCTCCTCGAGGGTGCGGCCCTTGGTCTCGACCCAGGTGACCAAGATGATGACCAGCTCCAGAACATCCCAGGCGCCATTGATCATGTACGTCTTCCAGGAGATGGCACTGAGGGCATACGGAAAGGCGAAGGTGACCATCAACCCGACGCCGTTGGCCCAGAAGGTGTAGATGCCCATGCCCACGCTGCGGATGCTGTAGTTCAGCACCTCGGGCGGATACAGCACCGTCAGAGGCGTCCAGCCGAAACTGTACGCGCCCTGGAAGAGGAAGATGGCGGCCACCGTGCCGTAGATGCCTGACTGGTTGGTCGAGTTGCCGTACGCCTTGGTCAGGCCGCCGATGAGGAAGAGGAAGACGGTCAAGAATGCGGTGGACGCGGCGGCCAGAGTTTTCCGGCCCAGCTTATCCATCAGCACGGTGCCGATCAGAGCCACCACCAAGCACCACGCGTTGAGGATAACATTGATCTCGAGCTGCGTCGTCGAGTCCGTCACACCGGCCTGGGTCAACATCGGCCCGAGGTAGTACGAGATGATGTTGTTTCCCGAGAGCATCGAAAAGACGGCCACGGTCCAGGCGAGGAAGATCCTCTTGCGCGTCGAGGCGCTGTTGGCGAACTGCTTCATAAACGCCGGTTTCTCGTACGTCTTCTCGAATGTCAACGTATCGGAGATCTCACGGAATTGAATCACCACCGCTGGATCATCGACATTGCCGTTCGAGCACACTTGCGCCAGAGCCACCAGGGCTTCTTGGGTCCGGCCTTGCGAATGGAGCCATCGAGGACTCTCGGGCGTGAATGGGAGCAGCGACAGGCACATCAGGCTGAAGAGACCTTGAAGGATCGAGGGAAGCCGCCATGCCCAGGTCGAGTCCATCTTCGCGGTGCCGTAGGTGACGCCCGCGGCAATCAGGCCTCCTACATACCAGAAGTCGAAGAAGATACCGAGGCCCCATGCTCTGTAGCGCACCGGCAGCGTCTCGGCGAGGTAGACGGGCCCGGCGATGGACGAGGCGCCCGTGCCAATGCCGATCAGAATGCGAGCCACCACAAACATGGCAATGTTTTGTGCTGCGGTCTGGATCACGACCCCGACGATGGTGAAGACGGCGCCGAAGAACAGTCCCCATTTCCGGCCAATCCAATCCGGCACTTTGGCATAGACACAAGCGGCGATGATGCTGCCCATCCACACCGATGCCGTGTTGAGCGACATGGTCGCCGTGGTCAAGGTGAAATAGTCGGTGTATGATGGGAGGATGTTTAGACCGTTCATCATGGAGCCATCGAACCCCAGCGTCTATTTACAGAGGTCAGTCAGCCTTGTCTTGCACCGCGTCTGCCCGAACATCTAGATCCCTACCGTGGATGTCACACATGATGTGAGAACAAGCAGGGCGCAGGCAACGCTTGACCGCTGAGGCACCCAGGCGGGCAGATCCCACGGGATAGGAGACATGACGCCCAGGATTCAGGATTGGTTCCCCGGGAGTGTTCAGCGCCGCAGATGATGGTTCCCGTTGCAAGCCGTGGTTCCGATCCGATATCTAATATCACAGATCAGGCTTGGGGTCAAGCTTGACCGTGACCGACAAACGACACGTCTGGCTTGTTCTTATATGGACCTGGGCACATGGAGATGTGAGTGACTGCCCAGCCCTAAGGACCTTAACATTCACCCTCGTTATCTCGACTTTCTTCTGGAGTATGTGTCCGGTGGCGGTAGCGCCTTGTCTGGCACGGTGTGCTGTCCAGTCATGGCTTATGGATTGTCGATTTAGTCCTACTCTGGTCTCGAGTATGCGGTCTTGACTTGCACCGTTATCATGGGCCCCAGCTAGGACGGGGAGTAAGCAAGGAGCAAGGCTGTTTGTTGATGGCCCCGAAGCCTCCAATGGATCCGGAAATGTCCGTGCCTGGGGAAGCATCCCCGGGTTCTCCGGTCATTATCAATGGGCAAAGGCGGGCTTTCATTCGGCCATCATCTCAAGCGAACTGGCGCGAAAATCGAGAGGGGAGGGGATCTCCGCCCTGGTCGTAGAAGTCCGAACAGCTGCTGGGCTGAGCAGAGAGGCCCTTCCACGACATCCCTGGCAGTGTTCAACTCGAGCAGAGATTTTGCCAAGCTTAGCACATCCAACCGAGGGAGGAACAGCTGCTGTTAAGGACAAGGACAAGGAGACACAAGATGCCTGGAACGCTACTCAGCTGGCCCGACTGGCCCGAGTTCACGGCCGCCAAAGGAGAAGCAGGAGATGACCTGGTCGAGTTCAAGAAGACCATTGTCGACAAGTACGGGGAGGACGCGCTCGTCAAGAGCTGGCTCAGAGTGTGCAGGGAACTGGAGGCAGTGACGGACGAGATCGCCGAGAGGGCCAGCTCCATGATCCCGGAGGTCCAATTCGAACAGTTCTTCTCCTTGCCCGCCGAACAGAAGAAGGCGTTGAAGGAAGTGGGATGTTTTGTCGTGCGAGACGTCTTCAGCAAAGAGCAGGCGAATGACTGGTTTGACCAGCTGAAACAATATGTCGCAGCCAACCGGGCCTCCATCACAGGTAATTGCCCAACCTATTCGAGATTCCATCCCGCAGGCATTTACTGGTAGTATTGAACCCTCCACTGACCTTTACCGTTGACAGGCTGGCCTGCAGAAACCCCCTTCATCCTCAACCTGTATTACTCCCCTACCCAGATGGCGGCCCGATCGCATCCCAACCAACTCAAGCTGAGCGAGGAGCTCAATTCTTGGTGGCACGATGACTCGGGAACCACCTCCCCCAAGCCCCTGTCCTATGCCGATGGCGTCCGCATCCGACCGCCAGGGGTTGCGTTCAAGGGACTCGGTCCTCATATCGATGCAGGAAGCCTGTCTCGCTGGGCCGACCCGGTCTACCAGTCTGTGTATTCTGCCGTCTTCTCGGGCAATCCGGAGCTCCTGGACAACTACGATCTGACGGTTCGCAAAATGGCCAACCAGGCCATGTTCCCCGGCTCGGCTCATTCACGCGTCTTCCGAAGCTTTCAGGGTTGGACTGCGTTGACGTCGGCCGGGTTGGGAGAGGGGAGTTTGATGCTCTATCCTAATGTCAAGTGGGCCATGGCCTACCTTCTACTGCGACCATTTTTCCAACCGCCCGAGTCGGAAGAAGAGATCATGGATGCGACCAAGTGGAAGTTCGATGCCACCAGCCCGTGGTTCCCGGGCACCTTCAGAGGCGACAGCCAGCTCCTGAGCCCGTCCTCGCACCCGCATCTCCGGCTTCGAGAATGCATGGTTGGCATTCCCAAAATGAGCCCGGGTGACACAGTGTGGTGGCACGCCGACATGTGCCACGCGGTGGAGGTGGAGCACAACGGTGACCACGAAGCAAGTGTCGCCTACATTGCCGCCACGCCGAGGACGGAGGAGAACAAGAGATACATCAAGGGTCAGTTGGAGGACTTTCTGCAGGGCATTCCACCAGAGGACTTCCGAAAAGGCCCTTCCGAGAAAACCTTCAAGTTGTTCACAGGCGAGAGCGGTATCCTGGGTGGCGAGGCGGGAAGAAAGGCCATGGGGTTTGACCTCATCGCCTGACCAGATCAGATCCAAGCTTTCTGTCTCTGGTTGCGATTGCGACACGAATCTGGACCTGTTTTCTACGAGAACTTCTGATTCGGGCTCGGGCGACGATGAGAAATGAAAATCTCAAATCTCCTGATGGTAGCTAGCTACTCGATAAATACCTTTCGTCGTATCCGTCGTATACTTGAGCGATCGGATCATCGATTATCGATTATCGCGGCGGTGCTTCTGCTAGACACGAACAGCTCGTCTATCACTACTTCGTACGCTGTAGAGGGATCACGTGGCTGTTTTTGTGTTTGAACCTGAGAGGTGAGAAGTGAGAGGTGAGAAGATGTCACGTGAGCACCGAAACACTACCTTAATAAAGACGAGGAGTTGAGATCTGACCAGCGTAGGTAATAGCGTACTCCGTACTCCGTACTTCGTATCCGTAGCAATTTATCTTGATTCTTGGGCTCTCTCCTCTCTCACACGTGATCCAATCCATTACGTACACTGTACGGAGTACCCTGTACCCTGTACCCTGTCACCCTGATTTTTCGGTGCAGGCCTAATAAGGAGCCTACGCCCCACGCCCTGAGGCCCTGAGGCCCCCTAAGCCCATTGATGACCCGACCCAACCAATCTGCGCTGGCTAAGGGGCCCAGCAAATACACCAATATCCTCTCCTCTGTACTCCGTAGAATATAGACAAAGAGCTCCCAGAAGTCCTGTCCTCTATTCCTCTATTCCTCTAGACGACAAACTTTCTGTTCATCAAGGAATGCAACTAGTATCAGTAGCAGTAGCAGTATCAGTAGCAGCATCAATAGCAGCATCAGTATCAGTATCAGTATCAGTATCTATAGCAGTATCAGTATCAGTAGCAGTATCTTGAGCGGGCCTTTTACCACTACATCAAGAACCTGTTGACCATCAAAAAGTAGGGTATCTAGGGTATCTGGTATCTGGTATCTGTATCTGGTATGGTATCTTGCATCTTGCATCTTCGGGACGGGGACTCAAAGCCTGGAGCCCCAGCCCCTCGCTCTTCATTATACGTGCATTAATCATTAGACTTTCATCGCTCTCGTGCTTATGCTTTCCATTCTAGATGATGTTGGCGATCGTCATGCGTGCCCGATTCGAGTCTGGTGGTGGACTCTGGGTACAGATTGGCGGAAGGGTTGGTCCAGGCGTGAAGCCAGTCCCAGTCGGCAATGGTGGTCGAGGAAATCCAGGCTGACTCGGCTCGTGGGATGCGTAGTGTTGATGTTGGTGTTGTTGTTGGTGTTGGTGTTGGGTCTCACGCAGACGCTGCAAGTACCTCGCAGAATGCTCGAGATGCTGCCATCCTCCCCAATCGTGCCGTTCTTCTTCCGACAGCACATTATCCCAGGCCGGTGGATTCTCGGTGCCGGGGCCCTGAGTGTCATTTGCATGAGGCACATGCTTGGGCCTGCCATGTTTTTGTCGCCGGCTCAGGTGAGTGCCAGTCTCAGCGTGACCCCATACCCAGCTATTTGTGCTCGCCTGTAGGTCTGCAGACAAATAGACCAGTATTTCCTCGTCCTGTTCGATCTCGACGGCATTTGGGTGCTCGTAGTGCTCTATAAGGCGCTGCAGGAAGAAGGAGAGGTACCTTCCACAACTGATATTGATCACTAGGGCATCGTTGATGGTAGAGGCCGCCCTCAACACAAGGAAAAAAGCATCGTAGAGTTCTCGGAACAACAGAAAGAGCATGCACCGCCACAAATGTGTACAAACCAAAGTGGTCGCCGAGAGAATGAACCTCTGCTCCCAGTCATGGGATTGTATGTTGGGAATCATACAACGGGAGAGCAGCGTGGCCGTGTCTTGCGATGCATGAATACACTGCTCGATCGCTTGATACCTCTGCTCGCCTGAGCAGGATGGAGAAATGTTGTGGCGGTGCAGCAGAATCCGGGCATTTTGAAAATAGAAGAGTGGCTGCATGATACACGGGTCCAGACAGGCCGCGGTCGTCAGTTGTAGAGCCCGTGGAAACAGTTGGAGACATTCGCCCAAATGACTCTCAAATTTGGTCAGAGCCTCGGCCGTGATGCACAGTGAGCGGAAGCTCTTGGAAAGCGGCGCCATGAGCCGCGCGACGTGGACGTTGGCTAGCAATAAGGTTGCGGGAAGAGGCGTCGCAGGGTCATCTGTGACAAGCCGCTCTTCGTCCAGGACTTGGGGATATTCAGTGTCACACTCGTCATCATTGATGAGCATAGGCTTCCCCAATTCCAGAGCCAAAAGACTGTCTTCGTCAGCGAAGGAAAACATGCAATGTCACGCGCGCGTACGTACCGATCCCAGACGTAGAGCGAATACCAGATGCGCTTGCGCATTTCTCCTTCAACCGGGGACCACTGGCCTCCCTGAACGTGGAGGCCTAGGTCCTGGACAATGCGGATGGCAGAGCCCAACCAAATCCAGCTTGCAGACTTCCTATTCATCTCGAGAAGCGCAATGCTGGCCAGGAACGCGACAATGGCCTGATTCGTCGACACGTCATTTTCCCAGAAGTTGATGGTCGATATAGACCTCGTCAGGTAGTCCTGCGCTTCCGGAAGCCGGCTCGGGTCGTGCGTGGCCAGCGCACCACAAGCAAGCACACCATACAGCATCGCTATCCAATCCATGGGCACCGAGTGCGCGCCGCTTCTGTCCATTGCCATGGCAAAAGTCCGCTGAAATCTGGGCCAGTACAAGACGGGGAAATTGCGATGGATACTTTCATGGTAGTAATTCAGCAAGCGTTCCGCAGCCTGGCGCGACGGCATTCCTGGCAGATCCGAAACCGTGGAGCGTGCCGAGTGTGGTCTCTGTTGGCCGCCGGTGACTGGAGGTTTCAACAACCCACGTCCCACGTCGTTCAAATGCACCCTCGCATTGGTGAGGTCTTGAGGAGATCTTGCTTTCAACATTCTTCGAGGTGATTTTCCGACCGTGGGGAACTCGCTGAAGATCGAGGAGGAAGTGTCAGGGTGAAGGTCGGTGAAAATATCGTTGATCCGTTCTACGGCCCGAAACCGTTCGAGCTGCTGACGAGCTTCTGACAATTGTCTCTCTAGATCCTGCACTTGTCTAGACCGGTCAGATAACATTCGCTGTGGGCGTACGAAGGTCCGACTCACTTGATTGACGACATTCGGCGGTTGGTGTCTTTGGTAAACTGACAACGAACATTGCGGCTTGAACACTCGGTACAACTCGAGGTCTCGGTCGCGTCACACTTTCAAAGTCAGCATCAAGGCCCAGCAGCATCCGGCGGCGTCCTTCGAAACCGACCTTCACTTTGCGTTCCCGACACGCATCGCAACTCGGGTCCTTTCTTCGTTGTCTGTATGCCCTTTTCGGATTGTGCATCATCATGGCCGAAAGTTGAGCTGGAGATGGGCTGCCACTTCCTCCGCCACCGGGTCTTAGATTGTCCCCCAGGTAGGAGGGTCCTTCGTGGGGAGACATCGACTCCATTTCGTGAGGAGAGTAGTAGGCAGACATGGTCCGTGGCTCCGAAGGTGATAATGTAGGCCGAGAATGAGATTGGCGGGAGAACAGAGTCGTCGATGAGGATTGATACGTTGGCTCGTGGGCACTCAGCGGCGACCCGGTGGAAGCGGTTTGCGGGGAATCTCTGACGAAATAGAGATGGTTCTGCATCGCAACAGACTCGACGTAGATGGCCCTGTGTAGAACTTGTCCCAAACGTGCTGACCACTATGTGCCAGGTAAACAGAGAGTCGTCTCGGAAGCGGGAGGCATGCCCTCGGCCTTCGAAGTATCGTCTACAAGCAGCCACTTTGAGAGCGAGCTCGCTGACCAAGACCGGTGCTGCCCCTTCACAGACTGCGCAGGCGTGAGCGGTGTCGATAGGTTGCTATAGACAGAATGAGCCAGATGCAAGTCTGATCTTGGCCGAACGGTCCAGTGAAGGATGGCGAGAACGATCTGCTGCAAGTAGACGTCACTTCCACAGAGAGTTGAGGCGAAATGGTCGCCGAAATGGCTCGTGAGAAACTGCTAGGGGAGCGAGCAGCGGCAGTGGTGTATTGAGGGTGTGACGGTGACGGTGACGGCGACGGTCACGAAAAGCCTTCGCGATAGCCGTGCGCCTGCCTGACTGATCCGCCGATCGAAATTCAACAAAGGCTGGGGGTCAGATCGTCCGAACCTCTGGTCCAAAGGCAGCCGGGGTTTGGAGCAGGCCACGACACACGGGCGGATAATAAAATCACCTGGGAAGTATTCGGTCGCCTCGTGGCCACTAATACAGGCTCCGGCTGCGCACGATGCCAGCGACAAATTGTCGGGGTGCGTGGCGTGGTCGCGAAGGCAAACGACGGATCCGCCACAACTGTGAGAAGATGATCTCGAGGTGCAAAGTCGAGAGGTTCGACCTTGCGGCAACCTTGGTCTGATACCGGACGAACCAGCATCAAGGCCACCTTCGCTCCCCTGCAAAGAAACGGTTCGGAATGATCGCGGCCCTAGGCTGCTAGCGGACCTGCTTGAGCCCCCGGTTCTGGCTGCCGAAGTGAAAGAAGCTAGCCACAACGTCGTGAAGAGAGCCGAATGGGGGCGTGACAGGGTCAGGGTTGCCGGCCACAGTGGCCAGAGGGCTGCACCAAACCGACTAGCACCATCAAAAAGAGCCCCCCTGTTCCAGGACAAGGCCTGACGGACCAGCCCCTTCTCCTCCGCTAACATTCGGTGTGCTACGCGAGGGCCTTTGATGAGCGTGGGTACAGACCAAACCCACTTGCATCTGAGATAGGATGGGCCTGCGCATGGGTCTTGACCTATAGCAGGTGTGGTCACCCTCTGCTGGCTTTCTGCCGACGGGCCGTTTTCACGTCCCATCCTTGACTGTGTGTCCTGGTGCCCCGTCGTATCCGTGGCGGCGCCGTGGAGGGCGGACCGAGGATGATCATAGTGCCTTGGCTGGATGAAAGGGCAGTTCGAGCTGGGCATTTAGCGGGCCGGAGAGAAATGGCGACCTGTCAGAACGGGCCTGAGTCTGGAGGGCTGGCTGACCTTCTTCAACCAACGACCGTTTTCTGAAAGGTGATCTGCTAGTGTGATCTCCGCGATGCTCCATCACCTCATACGTACCCAATTTCTCACCCTTCAGTTCCCACATTCCAACACTTGCCACCATTCTGTCAGACACCTTGCAAGGTCGCAAGAGATCCCCATTTGGCATTGACAGTGGGGATAATGCCAGGTGAAGTGAATGTCGGCTGCAAGCCTGCAACCATCTTAGTAGTCATCGATCAGATCAGGCCATTTGCAGGTGACGGTCACGGTCACGGTCACAATCGACAGCTCCCATGTTCGAGGTGTCCGCGTTCTCTCCTTCAGGTCGCACCGCACATCTTTGCCTGGAAGAGGTTGGCGGGGAAGGATAAAGAATGGACTGGTTATATGGTCCACTTCGGATTCCTTTAGCCAGCAACAGGGATCCTGAACCCTCATCAAAACTCGTACAGAGGGGACTGCGTAGTTGCAGATACTCCAGAACCCCTGGATCGGCGTCTGCCCCAGAAGCTCCTACAGTTGTTCCAATCACTTTGGTGTCACCTCGTGGAAACAATTTAATCCTTCGCCATATCGGGGGAAAGAAAAGCGGGAGAAGGTTACGAATGGTCGGAATCCGCCAGCTCGACGGAGAAGGTCTGGGGCCATGGGGGCCTGGCGATGTGCCCTCGACGCGTTCCTGCCAGCGGTCTGTTGGGTCCCCGACTGGGGTGATGCGTGATGCGTGATGCGTGATGCGAGGAGATCGTCTTGACTGACCACAGGCCGAACCAGCGACCGGCCATTCGCCATACCGTGTACACTACCAATCGATCATGTGAAAGGCCATAAATTACGGCAGTCAAATCAAGACTCTTTCCCTCCACAATTGACAGTTGCCGATATCACGAGTCGGAAAACTCGAAGAGCGTAGTGAGTGGGGCTGACAGAAGCCTGGTTGGTACATAAATCTATTCCCACAAACTCGTTGCACCTGTGGGGGGCTATAGGCTCGAGGCCGGAACCAGCCCAGAAATCCAGAAGGGAAAAGGGGACCAGAGATTACTCCTCTGTATTGATCTGTGTCGCTGGACTCAAGCTCTGCTCAGACCCCACTTGGAGTTTCCGGAGTGATTGCAGTTAATGGCGGTAAAGCCCGTGATATGTGACAGCCTAGGTTGACATGCAGCTTGATGCGAGAGACAGCCATTATCAGGCGACTAAGGACGTATCAGCGCTGAAGGCTGGGCAGTGGGCAGAGGCAACTCTCAAGTCTGGATCCCCAAACCGCCTCGGTAAGGACAACCGGGGTACGAGGGGGCTTGAAAGTCTCAGGGGATGATCCATCCCGCCGCTTCTGTTTAGACCGACTAGTCGAGGCTCGTCTTGTTCCAGAAAGCCGCGTAGGATTTGACCCGTCTAGTATGGACCTCATGGGTGACGACGCAAAAGGATGGTGGACACCAAGTCTCCGATAAGAGCAGGGGCGGAGGAGATCGCCGGTTGGTGTGTTGATGCCAAACCGAACGCCGAAAAGACAATCGGCACCGGCTTGAAACAGGGTATACATAGCAAGCCAAAGAGGATCGACCATGCAGGTTGCATCAAGGTTAGGATTAAACCCTGGTATCCCGGCCTCCAGCGCCAAAACTGCTGCCTCTGAGTAGCGTTCGTGGACGGATACAGAGTGGACATGGAAACAAATCTCGATTGTTAGGGGCACAATCATCAGCCCTGTCCCGTTGAGTCTCAGAACGCCCGTGCGGTCACATCGGTCCACTGGCTAAAATCTCCGAACAACGTTGGTCCTGTGCTGACCATCTGGCCAGCTTGTTTCTGGAAGTTCAATCTTGGATTGGGTTTTCGGTCAATAAGGGCCTAGAGGGATGATGGATGATGGATGGTGGGTAAATACCACCATCGTGTCATTCCCAAACCACACTCGTGGTATTTACCCACCATCCCCCCTAGACCAGGGACCCTATTCCACTCATAACGGTTGAGCTAGGACAGTCCAGAACCGTTGAGTAAGGAGTGTCACTCCGGATGGATTTTGGTGTCCGGCCTTGATTGGGATCGAGTAAGTGCAGCCACTCTGCCGGTCGACGGAATCTGACTGTTTTGAGGTTAGGCAAAGCTCTTGTTCCGGTGCGCTTGTACCACGACCCAATGGCCTCGCTGTCTTCAGTGCAAGTCACATGGTAGCGGCTTTACGTCAAGACTTTAGCGCCTTTCGTTGCTGTCAGGGTCATTGACGTCGCCATAAAGTAACCTGATTCCATACGGCGTAGAGAGGAATCAACCCCTGTGAGAGCTGCACGATGTATACATGATCCGCACAGCAAGCTTGCCTGACTGGAGAGAATGGGCTCTCTCGTTGATCCTCAAAACGCACGCGTTGACGCTCGGCCATTCGCCGCAGGGGGCCCTATCGGCGGGGTGAATACCCTAGGAAGGATTGCAATCGCATGGTGGGACCGTGCTTTTGGAGACTGCGGAGGAGGAGAACCCTCCAGTCTCATCTGCGATGATAAGGTTTGCGTCTACGCATCGATGCCGATAGATGGTCACATGCAAAACCATATGGCATATACAGATGGGCGCGATCAACTGTCTCGGCATTGACTCAAATCTCGACCTGACTTGAGACGGCCCCGTTCTCTACTAGTTGAGGAAAGATCTGAGAAACTGCTGCCCATTCTTTGAGGTCAGGCGAAGTCTGATAGGACATGATGATCGTCGCCGGGTGCAAGATTCGAGTCGCCACCAGGGATTCTAGCATCTCGCAGCAGACGAGTGTGGGCGGCAAGATGGATGGACGATGTCCGGATCCCGGATTGCTGAAACGCGAGCATGAAATGCAGCGAGCTTCCATACGCCGCATCGCTTGATCCCCTGAACATGAGTGGCTTGACTTGCTGGAGCTATCCGAGGCAAAGGAATCAGGCCGATTTGTCGTTCCTGACCTGGTTCATCAGCCTGAGGACCCTTTGCTACTGTCGATAGCGAAGATCTTGCATACCCGAATAGCGCGCTCTCCTTCTAAGCGCAGGAGCGTGAAGACGGTCTTCATGAGCCTCGAGACCACATCTTCATTATCTGATCGACGGCGACGGTGAGCCCTTCCATCTCTTCCTCTGCGGTGGTGCCGGCCAAATTCATACTACAACCCACATACACTGGCTGTTTCATCTTCCGGGCCAAGATCTTGGCCAGTCGAGTTGCATAGTCGATGCTAGAGCCCGAAGTTGACAGAGCAGTACTAATCACATCGCGGTCGTTTCTCATCTGATACATCGTTAGAACAGCAGACTGTTTTAGAGTTCGAATCGGCAGCCTGGAAGATGTCAAGATGACAGCTGTAGTTTCACGTACGTCGGGCATTGCATAGACGAAGCTCCCGAGCGGTGGTAAGGAGGTCTCCGAGTCTCCGATATCGGTGGTCGTCAAATGGACCATTGTGCATTGTCCCAGCCGGGTAAGATGCGCATGGAAATGGAGGTGTGGGTGTTTTGGAAGTGGAAAGGAAATGTCACACGGTTTGAAGGACGGTTCCATGTCTGAACCAGGAGGGAGACCGGCGGTGTTGGCGTCCTGCACTATCGTGAGACCGGGTTGGATTCCGGAAGGGACGGCAATCCAGATATCGGTAGAGGGTCAGAGGGTAGAACAGCGAGGTGGTGCGGTTGTTGGTTCAGTCGACAAGTAGAAAGTAGAAGAAATAACATGGACGGGTATCAATTAGGTGCACCGCCACCACCACCACCAAGATCTTGCCCTTGTGGTCAATCATTGTTAGTAGCAATTAGTAGCACTCTGTCCCCCCGCAAGTATGTACGTACAACTGGAACGCAGGTGCGGTCTATCACGCTTGGCATTCCTCAACCTCAACCTCAACCTCGCCCAACTCTGTCGCCGCTTTGACATCAATCCTCACACTCACAAGTCTCCCCAATTCTCGATCAATTGACCAATCGAGGCCCGACCTCTCCACCCTCAGCCCTCTACTTCGCAATACCGAGTCCCTGAGGCTTGCTACCGCGACGGCTACCGTGACGAGATCGAGGTGCTCCAGAATGGCCGAAGACACAGCGTCCTCGAACGAAAGAGCATCGTCAACGGATCGCAAACCCCTCTTCGACGACACCGGCCCATTGGCCGATCCGCTTGAGAGGCGGACCATCTTTGCAGCTCTCGACTCCTTCTAGTGAGTACCTGTAGGTTTGGGGAAAACCCTCCCGGAAGTACTTCTCCCTCCGAGTCCGTGGACCTTCGGCCGTGCCACATGTTTGCCCGCGTCTCCCCCGTGTCCTCTCCATCCTGACTGCCTAGGTAACGATCTGGAGGCTGACCCAGTCGGACTGCAGCCAATACCGCAAGAACACGCACTTCAACACGACGCATCGGCGCCGGCAGAACCTGTACACGCTGCCGTCGGCGCAGTGGCGCATGCTGGCGGCACCGCCCATTGCCATTCTCGACACACTCAGCGCAGTGGACGATGCCATCGACCACAACGCCGACCTGGCAGACGCTATCTTCCAGCTTGGACTGGCGTCGTTCGGGCTGAATGAGATTCCGCCCAACGACGACCCGGAATGGGACTGGCACGGCAAGGCCAAGGCCAACGATATCTCCAAGGCACATTCCACAATTCGTCAATTCTACAGGGACTGGTCTGGGGAAGGCTTCACGCTCGAGGTGAAGCCGTTGCTCGACACAATCCTATCAGATCTTGAGAGCCATCTCCCTGAGGTCGAGGAGAACAGAGGATCCCCATCTCTCTTACTCCCCGGCGCCGGACTGGCACGCTTACTCTTAGAACTCTGCCTGCGCGGCTATAACGTGACGGGCAACGAAATTTCCTATCATCAACTGCTAGCAAGCAACTTCATCCTCAACTGCACACAACATGCAGACCAGTACGCTATTTACCCCTTTGCACACACATTTACCAACGTCGTGTCGCGAAAGAACCAACTGAGACGCCACACTATCCCGGACGTGCACCCCGGCATTGCGCTCTCAACAAGACTAGCGGCTGGCGAGCCGGTCGGCGAGATGAACATGACAGCCGGCGACTTTGTGCTTTCCTACTCGACACCCGAATGCACGGAAATGTTCGACGGCGTGGTAAGTGTCTTCTTCATCGACACGGCGCCCAACCTGATCCGCTATATTGAGACTGTGAGGAATTGTTTGAAGAAAGGCGGTGTATGGGTCAACATCGGTCCTCTCCTGTGGCATTTCGACGATCGAGCCCCCACCGGTGAATGTGACAAGGACGACGCCGACGAAAGCAAGGACAAGACTGTCAGTGCCCATGACCACATCGAATCTACCCATCCGCACGATCATCTCCCAGGCTCTCATCATTCGCACGACCGCTCCTCTGAAAGACAGGGCTCTGTCCACCATCCAACCCATTCCCACAATGATGGCCTAAGACAGGGACGCCGACCTGACGTTGCCATTGAAGACAAAGGTATCGCGGAGCCCGGCTCCTTTGAGCTTTCCGACGAAGAGGTTCTTCAACTAGTATCGCAGCTAGGCTTTGAGATCACCCACCATGGGATCCTCGACGACGACGATGACTGTGGTGATCACCCAAACGCTCCTCCTGGCTCGGTGCGTGGGCTCGGCGTGGGCCTGGGCTATATGCAAGATCCCACGAGCTTGCTGCAAAACCGGTATCGATGTAGCCACTGGGTGGCCAAGAAGACGTGAAAGTGCGGACGAGGTACAGACGGGTTTGACAGCTATACATCGAGGGTGAATTTCACCGCCGGCCTCTGAAGCCTACATCAAAATATGGCGAAAGAGCCTCTCGTCCTGATCAATATCCTACCTACGTTATCGGCATTGTCTTCGGTCCCTACCTACTCTTTTCCTTTCGCACTTGGTCACGTCACTTTAAGGTGGGACTTGGACACAGACATCTACCATTCTCTTCGTCCATGTCTCAGGGGAATCGTCCTGGCTTCATCCTCTCCATTCTTGTCCACTTGTCCACCTCGTCCATCATCCGTCATGGCCATTTGTCAGTCACGGCATGGTGAGCTTCCTGCGTTACAGCGCGGTACCATCTCCTCACTCCCACATCTCAATGCAAGCCCGGTGGTGCTGGGGCATGTTCATGTATTTCCTTACGTCTCTCCCCTCGTTCATGGTTCGCGATCCGCAACGGATCGCATGGTTTGCCAATTAAAAACGGTGCAAGGCGTGAATGCAATCGTAAGTTAGAATGGCATTGTCCAAATCCCCAAATAAGTATATCCCACACCAAGTATCGGCGGTCGACTTTCTCTCAACCTCCGGTGTTTTGGCGTATGTGCGCTCTTCTGCTGCCATTGACAGTCCGCGACAATCGCATTCTTCTGTGCGCTCGGTCCTCATCTGAATCTCGCAGTGCATCTACCCATTACTTCTCCTTGGCAGACTAATTCAGCATTGAATTCTGACCCATCAAGAGTCAGGTAGATATCAAAGTAAACACGGTAGAACGTCCCTTGTGGAGTGTCCATCCGTTCGAAATCCTTCTCCAGGTTCTTCCTCGACAGATCGGAAGTGAGTGTGACGACTTCCTTGATTCGGGGATCTTTGGTATATTCCGGGCTTTGGCACACGTTGTCAGTAACTATCCTTGATGGATTCTTCCATGCGCTGCGGTGAACTTACCAAACATCCTCGTCACAAGCATAGAGAATATCCTCGTACATCAGAGTGGCTCCTGGGGCCACCTGTCTGAAGAACGAGACTTTGACCGGTTCGCCAATCTTGACTCTTTCGCCCTTTTGCACGAAGATCTGCCGGGTATATTTACATCGATCCTTGCCGTCAAGACTAGGGACGCGGTATTGTTCTGGATGGTAGCCTTCTTTGAACGGTTGCAACGTCGCCATGAGATAGTGTCTTCTAGCAACCCGCGAAGTGATGACTTTCTCTGTGATACCTGCAGTGACGGCGCCTTTGACGATGGCGGCCACCGAGTCCATGGGTCTCACGACTTTGGATTGAAATTGTGGAGGAACATGCAGCTTGATCTGCTGGAAGAGATATTCGGAAGCCCCGAAGCCCCCCACGACAAGGACATTCTGTAACGATCGATTCTGCGCCTGAATGGCAATGATCTGGTTGCGGACGAGCTCGAGAATACGATTGACAACCGGTTCGAAGCATTGCAGGATTTCCTCATTAGTAAAGGTCATGTATCCTTCCTCGATGCCGGCTTCCGGGAATTCAGCCTCGATGCCGACATCCACTGCCCATTTCTGGCCGTTGTTGCGGAAGTCAGCCTTTATTCTGTTCTCAAAGTCCATGATACATTTGGCGTAGACTCTGCCGGCCGTCTTTGACCCATCAGGTAGCTTCATCTTCCGTATCTTTGCGCGCAGGATGTTGGAGAAGTTCCTGTTGAGAGCAGTGGAGCCACAAGAATCGCCACTACCGGCTGTGCATTCGGCGACTGTGAAAGGAGTTTCCTCTTCAACCTCGTAGGCGATCAAGTCAACCGTACCACCTCCACAATCAACGATGAGCACGGCGTCATGGATCTTGAGGTTGAGCAGTCCAGTCTTGGAACAGAACATGGCTGCGGCTTCGGGTTCGGTGATGAGGGTGAGTCTGTTGTCGTTTTCGTCGCGAATGAATCCTGCTTGAATGGCGGCAGCCCGGGTAGCCGCCTTACCTGCGTCGTTCCAAATAGCCGGCACGGTCAAGAAATATCGGATATTACGTTCCTCGCGGTTGAAGACCTCGCCTAGGGTTTTCTGCAGCTGCACTCGCATAGCTTGTCGTAACTTGAACAGGTAATCGGCGGCAACATCGATTTCGGATTTCCCAGGAGGCAGAGGGGGAAGGTTAATGGGGTCTATGTATGTATTGCCTGACAGCATCAGTTGTAGTTTGAACCATTCCACCTTTTGCACACCCGGCTTGGGGTAGCCGGTGGGAGCCAGGGCGTCAGCAATATCGGGACCCCAGCCGACGACTTTCTGATATTGATCGTAGTATAGGACAGTCGGTATCTGCCAGCCTTGTCAGCATCCCTCGCCCTGCTCGTGCGAGATCTCGCCTAGCGTACCTTTTGCTTGGTCTGGTTGCCTGCGCCTGGCCACTCCGTTATGATGTCCTCCTTGGCTTCTGTATTTGTCGCGAAGGCAAATGCCACACCGGAAAAGGTCGTGCCCTATGGAGTCATTAGTCCTCTTAACATTAGGAATGAGATGGGTGGCTGGTCCTACAAAATCGATGCCCACGATAAGCTGAGCCTTACTCCGAGCCGCGCCTTCCACTTCAGCGGGGCGAGCAGGACCGAACTGGTTTTGCATAGGCTGGATGCCCGGCTGGGGAGCCATTTGACCGTATGCACCACCATATCCCGGAGGTTGTGGCGGTCCTAGTTGAGGGGCACCGCCAACATAGCCTTGCCGCGTGTCGATTGGGGGTGGGTGGTGCGCCATTTGGGTCTGGCCCGGTGGCATGGGCGATTGAGGCCGACCCTGGACATTGTTGTAGGTATAGCTGGGAGGCCGGCCGGGCACACCTGGCTGATTCATGGGAGGCAGGCTGGTCTGGGAGGCGTTTGGAGGGGGAGGAGTCCCAGCGGTGGAGGTGGAACCGTTGGGTGACGCGATGGAGGTGGTTTGGATGTTGGCACTGCTCTTTCGTTTGGAACCGAAGCCTAGACTCTTGAGACGAGAGCTCATGACATCGACAATGATGCGGGCGCGGATCTCGAGTGGGTGTCGTCTCAGATGCTAGGAATGGAAGGAGGGAGGTTTGTCAGAGCCGGTGGAAGCAGACACCGGAGTTGGAAGAGCGTGCGTCGAGCAAGCGCAGGCGGGTTCAAGCTCAGGTAAGGCTCGAAATCAGAGCAGGCCAGCAAGGTCTCGATGGTAGGCAATCGGTATACTACAGCAACTGAAGAGTCGCAGTTGTAAATTGAAGTGCGCCGCGCGGTTTGTCAGAGGGAGGTCAGGTCGTTTGTGACTTGTCAGGCATCAGGTGGGTTGGGCTGAAGGACGGAGGACATTAGCACGTATGGAGTATCGAGGTGGATAAGGTATGTAAGGTAGTTGGTGGCAGTCTCTGTCAGGCCAGGGGAATTAAGGCTGCCTGCCTGCGCTTTAATGCTGTGGCGACGGGTGGGACAAAGACAAAAGATCAAGGTGCGCTGTTGCTGTTGTTTTGGAACACTCTGACCACCGAGACCAGAGGAATGAGGAGGAGTTGACCACAATCGGGGCTGAGGAGTCCTCCAAGCCTACATGTACTGTAAGAGACGTGGTGCGGTGCAGTCGTGGCCAATTCCAAGGTGCCAGTAGTGGAGGGCGTTGAGCTGGTCTTGTCTTACTGCTGCTTAGAACTTGAAGCTTAGCGACAATTGGCGGATTGGGGGCCAAGATTGCGGCAGACCGTCTTGATTGGCAGTCTCTGCCTTAACTCATAGTATTATGTATGTCGAAGGATATGGAGAGGCATGGACGGTGCCTGCAGATGTCTTGTTTTGGAGGCGATACTATGATGATCCTCCCATCACACACAGATGCCCTCAGTCACGATGGATTACTATCTAAATGTGTAGATGGTACGAAGACATAGGTAGGTTACCTTAGGTACCAGTACGAGTAGGATTGGAGGCACTTCTGGGCACTAATATAGGGCTGACACACCGCTTGCAGTTTTCACCCTGGCTCTTCTCGCGAACTTTTAGTACTGTCAGTTCTTCCCGCCTCCGCTGCCACCATCGCCATCCCTTGTCTCTTTGAACACATGTGCGGTCGTGCCACCCTAAGGTCCACACACTCGATTGATCCTACGATCCACGTTTCAGCCTGATGATTTCAGCACATTCAACCAACGTCGGCCATGTTACGGAAACCATTCTTTCGTCGGCCTTTCACGTTCGAACTCCACGACATAACCCCACCATGCTTGTTCAATCGTAATCGCAAGCTCCTCCCTCCCCGAGCCTTCAATGGTCACATCCGTGCCGCTGAACAAATCCCTGTACTTCTCGACGGCCGACCATACGACGACTACAGAGTATGGTCCTGCTCGCTCGCACGGAGTCTTATGGCTGGTGGATGGTCTCAAATAAACCAACTCGCCTTCCACGCTTATGATGGTGATGATAATGTTCGCAAGAGCCACGTTCAAAAAAAAAAATCTATTGTGTTCTAAGACACACTACAGTTCGTCCTTCCCACTCGCACGACTGGCTGCCGTCGCCTTTGGTGATGATGCGCTCACCGATGATGAGCTAGGCCCTGCACTGCTCGCCGAATTGCTTGCGGTCTGGCCCGACGCAGAGGACTTGCTCTTGCTCGCCTTGCCTTTCCCTTTTTTGCTGCCTTTAGCCTTTCGGGGCATCTCTTGTGCCTTGACTGTCTTCATAATTGTGTCAGTCACCACTTTCTGCAGCTCTTGACCTTGTGTCTCCAGATCTGACACCAGAAAAGCTGGGTCGTCGTAGGGTTGCAGTTTATCTTGAAGCGTTAGCCGCTCCTCGAGCCACGACTTCACGGTCTCATATTTCGTGGTCAACGATGACAGATCGTCTGCCGTGTATTCGTATGGTTTGAATTGTGGTGTTTCGTCGGCCTGGGTCTCTGCCGCTGCTGGTGTGCTGCTGTATGGGTCTTCTTCCAGATCATCCCCGTCCGCCGCCGATGGAGTTGAGCTGGCAGTGGCACTGGATGCTCCGGACGAAGCTGTAGAGCTTGCACTCGCTGCTGCTTTCTCGGCCGCTTTCTGGATACTCCCTGAGACCATCTTAATCATCCCATTGAGGTTTTCCAACCCGTCCTGCAGTGCTTTGACTGCATCAGGCCGTTTGACCGCCTCGTCTCGACGCGTCAACACTGGGTCTACCAAATTTCGAAGGCTCTTCAATTTCTCCTGGAAGTCTTTAAGGTTGGCATCTGCACCATTTTCATCCAGCCATTCAGAGACGTTGGCGAGCTGCTTTTCCAGTTCTTCTCGCATGGTTTCGCTTGACGTGGCAATGAAGGCTTCATCTTCAAGGTAGTCACGCGCTCGATATGTGAAAGCTTCTAGTGTGCTCAACGCTTCGGCACGGAGCGCAGCATTTCGGTCTGAGGCGTCAAATTGTGTCAATCTCTGCCGCATCCGGTGTATGGAATTGGAAGGTGGTACATTGCGCCCCAACGCTCTCGACTTGAAGGCCAGGGGGATCGACACAACTGACGGGGTTGATTTTGCAGACTTGAAAGTTTCGCTTGTCGACGAGAAAGACGCTGAGGAGGGCGACTCAGACGTCGGCGAAGTTGACGATATAGTTGATCCCGAACTGGTCGGATCAGAGACAGGTAATGGAGTGGCCGCGCTGGAGCTCTCGACAGTTGGGTCCTCCTGATCCAGTACCTTCTGCTCATTGTCCTTCTTTGAACCGAATCCAAACAGTCCTTTCACATTATCCATCACGCCTCCTGGTTTACTGCCGGTTGTCTCACAATTGACGGCCCCGGAAACCACCTCTGGTAATGCATCCAAGGGGCTCAGCCGTACATTGAAGATAGCGCTGATATTAGCCGCATCGCATCCGTGTTTCTCTTTGAGTTCGGTCACAGACTTCGTCACATTGAAGGCATCCACCTCCGACACAGGGCGGTCTTTGTCATGCACCGTCTGAAGAAATTCAAGCTTAAGATCTTCCAGTGCCCTGATCGGCACTTGCTTCTGACCTCCTACCTGAGAAGTTGGCGTGAACAGCCTCTGCACCTTCTCCTTGCTCTCGGTGGTCCACTTTAGGCTAAATGGGAAGCCCGAGGTATCGGTGTCACGGATATCCTTGACCCTGAAGCTTGGGCTGAGAGAAGCAGCCTTGAAGGCAGCCCCATTAACGGCGGCTTCATCAGCATTGACGTTGGCCTTCAGCTTTTCCGCCCCCCCGGCCGCTTTCTCAAGTTGCTTTTGCACAAATGGGGTCCTGACCGCACCTCCATGCAGGATAACGGAGTCGAGGTCAGTAAGCTCGAGGTCAGCGGATTGAAGTGCGGCAGAGATTGGTCGGCCGACGCGTGCAGCATGGCCTGCCGCAAGCCCTTCAAATTGATCTCTAGTGAGGCTGTACTTAAAGATGGTATCATCGTCATAGAGCCCTTCAAAAGTTGCCGTCGAGACAGCGTTCGCACTCAGGAGCTGTCGCACGCGCTCGGCCTCCTTCCAGATCCTGGCCATGGTCTTGCCATGTCCTCGAACTTGAGATTCCTCAAGTCCGAGTTTCTTGACTTTAGGATCCTGGAGGAACCGAGTGACGATATCTTCAACAACGAGATCGTTTAGACTATCTCCTCCAAGCGTGGCATCGAACCCTGTTCCGAGGACAATGACCTCCTGAATTGTCTGATTGCGCTTGCCATATCCCTTGACTGTTCTTCCTTGAAATTTCAAGACAGTCGCTGTAGTCGAGCCGGCTCCCATATCGTAAACAAGATGATATTCAGGCTTGCCACCTTCGGATACGCTGTCGAAGGTTCGATGAGTTGCATAATTGAGACCCACGGCAAGCCCGTCAGTGATCAGACCCAGGACACGTAGCCCAGCCAGGTCCGCGGCCAACTCGAGGGCTCTCTTCTCCTCGGCTGTATAGAACGCAGGGTATGTAATGACCACATCGGTAACATGGGTACCCCTGGGCACCATCGCCTCGGCATTGTGGCGGAGGTTCTTCAGTTCCATCGCCAGCAATTCCTCGAGCATGAAGACTTCATTCTTGTTGCGGAAGCTCTGGCTTCTGAATCCAACGGTTCCCTCGGCTTTATCCAGATCTGGCCTTGGTACCGACTCGATATTCAACCCAGGGTATCGAGCACTATATGTCTTGACCGCATCTGACGATACTTCCAGCCCCAACAGGCTCTTCAAATTAGGGTAGACGTCGGTAGGGAATCGAGCGGAAAGAGCAACGGCGTCTCCGCCATACAATCGTTCCGGAAATGCTTCGGCGTCGTTGACCGACGCTCTCGACGGCTTGAATGCAAGGGTTGCAGCCTCCTTCCTCTTCGAATCTTTGCTCAGCACAATTTCGATGGGGTTCCCGGGCTTCACGATAGCGGCTTTGATGTACTCCGTGCCGAGGTCGACTCCGAGAACCGCGGAGGCCGCATGTGCGCTTGTGGCAAGCAGCAGGAGGAACAGGAAAAGGAGCAGGGTGATCGAAGACTTCCGTCTTCCAGGAGGTGCCATGTTGGTGCAGGAGGATCGCGAGGAAAGGGTGGACAAATCAGGAAAGGCTGGTCGGGGACGAGAGTAAACACATCCTCATATCAGAGATCGAGGCGTCGGTCCGGATGTGCGTGTTAAGACATATAAGATGAGTCGATGACTCGAGTCGGCGCCGTGTATTCAGATTGTTGTACTTCGTACTTGTGAACAACTGTCCAGACTTGCGACTCCACGGATGATGGGGCAGGGATGCTGGACAGCAGGGTGCGGGCCACCCAGCGCGCCTTGGCCTGGCGAATCCGATGGATCTGCGGCAAAATACGTATTTGTTCTCGGCGTGGCATTATTATTACCTGGTAGGTACCTACGAGGTGACTTCGAATTCTTTTCAAGTCTCACTCCGTTAGTCGAATTGCAATTACTACGACTTGGATGCTGTTCAAGTGAGAATGTCCAGTAGAGGAATCTGCCAAAGACATAGGATTTTCGGAATTTTTTTGCATTCGGATTTTCACCGTAGCTAGCTAAGTCTCCTGCAAGGCTACCACCACACACCGAATATATACTAAGAATATGTATAGGTAATAGTAGCTGACTGCTCGCACAACCTGGTGACTTCGCGCCCTCCCCAAAAGCGGGAATCATGCTCTCCATCTACCACAGACGACCTCGTCTACCGACGTACCATTAGTGCTGCCATGCATTTTTCACATTTCTGCGATGCTAGTGTCGTAAGGAACGTAACGCTTGCGCCCACACGATGTCGAGGGGCCGAGCCAGATCATATAGCATAAATAATCTCATCAAATCTTGATAATATTTGATCATTCACCGTGAACGGCGACAATAGAAGAATCGAAGGTGTTGGGGTCTAGACGGTCTAGACGGCAGCCTTGTGAGGCTCTGCCGCGCCAGATCGACCAGAAATTTATGCCAAAGCGATCAAGGCAGCAAGTCCACCGAGCAGAGCCACGGCAGGCTTGTTGTTGACGGCAGCGCCAGTGTAAGTGGCAACGGGAGCAGCGGTGGTGGTAGGAACCCAGCTGCTGACAACGGGGACGGAGGTGACGGCAACAGGGGTGCTGGCAACGGGGGTGCTGGTCCAGTCTCCCCAGGTGGCGGTGGTGCTCTCAACAACCGGAGCTGGGGCAGTAGTGCTCTTGACGGGAGCGGGAGCAACGGACGTAGAGGTCCAGTCACCCCAGACCTCAGTCTCAGCGGTGGTCGTCTTGACAGCGGCCGGCTTCTTGGTGGTGGTGGTGACAGTAGTCCAGTCACCCCAGACCTCAGTCTCAGCAGTGGTCGTCTTGACAGCGGCCGGCTTGGTGGTGGTGGTGGTGGTCCAGTCACCCCAAACCTCTGAGGTCGTCTTGACAGCGGCCGGCTTGGTGGTGG